GGTTGCAACTGACTCAAAGAAGAGATTTTGCAAATGAAGTATAGGTATCTTCAGGACCGATTAGAGCACTTGCAGTACTTCACACAGCCCATGCATAAAATATAGAATGTTCTCCTGCAAGATAGGGTGATGTTTGCCAACTTGGATGCCTTTAAAAGGGGCAAATGTATGGAGGAGAAGGCCGTCAGTGGTTGCTAACTATGGTGACTATATAGTAACTACAGTGACCTGGTTCATACATTCAAAGTAAACCACATGAATATTTAAGTGGCACATGCCAAAGGTGATTTTCATAATCACTACTCAGGTGTAGTTTATCATGTCATCCAAGTCCAGATGGTATGGTTTGTTGGATGGAGAAAAAGCTCCACAATAACCCTTTGGTGTAGGGTTATTGGAGGTTTGATTCCCATGCCTGGTATATGCTGCAGCTTAAATACAGCGGGTTATTTAATATGATGATTTAAGGAGGCACTTGTCAAGACTATTTTGGGTGGGATTCTGTCCCTGCCTTAGCTCATTTATGTTTGCTGGGGTGGGCAGGGAAGGCAACATGTTCATACTGACTACCACATTTCTATTCTTATGCTATAAAATACTAATTGTCACTTGCTTGTAACATTCTCCATGCTAAAAAAAAAAAAAAACCCAGAAAACTTCATCCCATAATTAGTGAAATAGCTGTGATCATTAAATGCAAGAATCAGTGAATAAAAGTGCATGTGTTGCATGTGATTTATTAAAGAAAAGTTATTAATTGCAAAGGACATCAGTTTTAAACCAAGAGAGTGTATTGTACTATGTTGAAAAATTAGATAAGGTTAAATTAAACAAGTTCAAAGTCTGTTGATATTGGGGAAGATCCAGTTATAAAAAAACACACACTTTCAAATAGGTACTGTCCCCTTCAGTTACCTGTGCTGCCTTTTGGCAGAATGTCAAAGGTATTTGTTTATATAAATGATAACATTGTCTTCCTAAAGATCAGAAATAAATGGAATGATTATATGGCATATATGCCTTCAACATTTTAAAGAATCACTCTTTGCACTGTACATATCCTGCATTTCATAGAATAGTAGAGATGGAAGGGGCCATGAAGGCCATCAGGTCCAACCTCCTGGTGTTGTAGGATACCAGTTTACACCATCCCACTCAGATGGCTGTCCAGTTTCTTTTTGAATATCTTTAGTGTGGGAGAGCCCACCACCTCTCTAGGCAGCTGGTCCCACTGTTGTATTGCTCTGACAGTGAGGAAACCTTTCCTGATATCTAGCTTGAACCCTGGTGGTCTCAACTTGATTCTGTGTCCTACACTCTGGTATCAGCAAGAAGAGATTTTGACCTTCCTCTTTGTGGTAGCCTTTGAGATACTTACAGAGTGACACCATGTTCCCCTCAGTCTTCTCAAGGATGAACATGCCCAGTTCTCTCAATCTCTCCTCTTAGGGCAGTGTTTCCAAACCCTGGGTCATTTTTGTTGCCCTCTTCTGGACCCTTTCTAATTTTTCTGCTGGACAGCAAGATTTGTAAAACATCCTTTTTCAGCTAGTACATTTAGTGGTAACCCTGTTTTTCGAGTGTTGAAGAAATGCATGTTACAAGGAATGATTCAGATGTTCTCTGGTATGAGTATAAAGTTATGTTTATGGAAGAACAGTATGTAAAAGTGGAATATAAACTTAAGATTTGCAGATCTACTGTATAGATCAGGGCATTGAAACTGATAGACAAATATGGTACATCAAATGCATAAAGTACAAGTAAAATCATTTTGCTAAAATTTTGCTTCTGCCTCTTAATATAGCCCACAAGAGCTTTTATTAAGAAAGAGCCTTTTGTGGACTAATAAAAGTCCCTTGAAAGTTTCGTATTCCAGAAAAATGAAAAACATAAAGTACAGTAACCTGGTTTGCAGATATGAGCAGCCCATGGGTTAAGCAACCAATAAGCTGTCAAGGATTAGGGGAAAAGAGTACTTGCCTCCTGAGTACCCACCATTTCTGCACCCATGGCATGTTGAGTGTGATGTGTGAACCCGGAGCAATTAATTTATGGTTTGTTGCTTGGTTAACCACTGGGATGAATAAACTGCCCCTTAATCTATTGATTTAGGTTTGCATGTCACAGTCGAAAACCTATAAATGGGTCAATCATAAGTTGCTGAATAAAAGTAGAAATGACTGGCATATTGTCTCCTGCTTGTTCATAACATGTCCAAATAGGCTTCCTGTCGCCTCAACTAACTTGTGTTCTTTCCCTCTCTCTTTTTAAAACAATTGCTTGTATCGACATTGCTAAATCAGATGACTTGCCTATCACAAATGAAAATGACATCATACCTGATCAGACCAAACTTGCAGCAATGGAAGAAATGGAACATGGGCCTCATGAAACAAAATTAAGCGAAGAAGATGCAGATGTTTTGATTCCAGGGATAACAAAATGTGCCCTTTCTACCTGTCAAAGAGTAGACCCTGAGGGCACAGAGCCTCACCCAGTGGCATCAGAAGAGAAGTTCATCAATAGGGAGCATTTGTCTACAGACCTTCTAGAAGCCAGCAAGCCTCAGCCTGTGGAACCATCAGAATTTGGTGAGCCTCAAGGTGTCACCAAAGTACCTGGCATTCTGCTACTAGAAACTGTACAGGATAGTAAGCCTGAATCTGTTGAATCCTCTACAAGAATGACACCTGAGCCTGGAGCGGAGGAAAGTGTGAATCTTGTAGAAGAAATTGTGAAAGAACTGCTAGTGGCTGAAGAGGAAGAGCTACCTAAGGGTAATGAACACGTTCTTGCAGATTCAGAAGGTCAGGTTCTGACCTGTACACACATTCCACTGAGTTTAATGGGTTTTTTTTTAAATTTTGGAACGTACTCACCTGAAGGCAGAACCTCTTATCCAATGGTTTTAAGCTAAGTATAGCATTTGCAAAGAATGGGCTTGGAATCAGCTGCTCATACTCAAAAGTAGTTAAGGGCTCTTCTGAATGCATGAGCTCAAAGTTACCGATTGCTACTTGCTTTGTTTTCTTGTAGTTATTTCAGGTACTCTCCCAATCACACCTCATTATTTTACACTAGACAAGACTATGGGTGGGGGAAGCAGCTCTTTGGGGCAAATTTACAAAACAGAAAGGATATGAATTCCCCTCCCCTCCCCTCTGATGGTTCTGCCCATCACTTATTCTGACATCATAACAACCAGTGATGTTTGTTTTCAATGTGTTCAGTCCAAATAACAATATGTTTGTATATAACTGTTAGTCAAAAATGTAGCACAATTGATTCAGTTTGTTGGTGTCATATTTTTGTTTAGAGTTTGTCTCTACCAATTAATAAAAGAATACATTGAAAATTTGAAAATAAGTGCATGCAACCCCATGCTGCTTGACCACAGGATCACCTGGTAACTGTTGGTATATTGCTGCTAAACATGGACGTTTCCCTTAGGTCTGAATGGCTTTTGGGCATGTTAACTGTTGCCCATAAGAATAGATTTCTGTGCCAGTTTTGTGATACAGAAAGCAGGATATCTGCCAAATAAATCATGTAGTAAAGGCAGCTGTATTTACTTAGAGAATGCTTTGTGTAGCATCCAGACCTATTCTTAGGTGAACAGAAACCCTGTTGACATGGAGCTACATATCTGAAGCCCTGAATGTAGACAGAGAAAACCCCAGCAGTAGGTTCTAGTAATATAATCCCTACCTTTCACAAGTAACTTTTCTTAAGTATGTACATATTTAAGAGCCTGAATGGCAAAGATGGTTGCAAACAAAAGCAAAACTAGGTATGCTTGTCAGCTTCTGGCAACTTGGGGTTCTCCAGATGTTAGCTTGCTATTCCCATCATTCCTAATCAACAAAACACATGCATGCTATAGGATTATGGGAGCTGTAGGCCAGCATACCTAAAGGGTGCCAGGCTAGCAAAGACCTGACAAATCCATCTACATCAGGTGAAAGTTGCTGGATGCCTTCTGTGGCTCATCTGTTTCTTTAGGACATTATGAAGGAAAACATGATTGATGAAGTGACAATGAAATACTCATTCAGTGTTTGCTGGCTTGATTACTATGGTTCCTATTCCAGGTGAGACAGGAGAAAAGATGGAAACTGAGATGCACCTTGAGATAGTAAGTGAGGGCTCTGAAACAAAAGAAGAAGAAACAGGAGAAGCTACAGTGGCAACAGAGATAGGTATGTTGATGGAGAAGTAAAAGGGTAATATATTAGCAGCTCAAACAGCTGTATTGCTATTCATAACCTTTCATTAGCAATTCCCTCCTTATTTAAATGTTTAAAGAGCATTCTGAAGGTGATTTTCTGTTAGGTGAGCACCTGTTTAGGTTTGTATAAGGGCCTGATTCACCTGACATGAAAGATTTGCCCTTCTGAACCTGGGTCTATCCTGACCTCATATAAAAGACATGCTCTTTTTTAAAATGCCATTATTACATTATTTTATGTTAATTACATCAATTGCATTGCATTTCTATACCACCCATAGTTGAAGCTCTCTGGGCAGTCTCTCTCTTCAATAGGGACAAGGGGTATATTAGTGCAGAGTCCTCCTACTTCTAACCATCCTCTCCAAAGAATTTTTCTCCTCCTCTCTGGTATCAGAGCACATCTGAAGAGAAATAACAGGGCAGAAGACAGTCGTAGTGCATGCAAGATGGTTTTAGTATTCTGTACTTCTGCAACACCCTGTTGCTATTAAAATCTGCTTTTAAAGTAAAAGCACGATTGTCTCTTCTTTGACCCTCTCTTATCCCAAGGAGCCAAGGGGATAAAATAGCCAAAAATGATGGGTTTAAAGGTATATATTTTTGGAAAATGAGGAAAACTTGTTCAATTCTATTGTTACTGTTTGCCAAATTTATTTTGGTAGTAATCAGATTACTACTGTTGCCCTGGGATTTCCATCCTTGCTCTATTCTGCTTCTTGGTTGCGAGGACTGTAATGGGCAGGCCTGAGCTCATGCATGTGGCTATTTGGAGGACAAAACAAAGTACAGGCTGCTTAGAAACAGAGGACAGAGTAAAAAGAGGGCAAAAGTGTTTGTCACTCAAGGCAGATCTAAAATTACAGCTCTTTCATTTCTTGCACTTGTACCTGATGGTAGAGATTTCCTCTGTGTGAAACGGAAGGCCCCATACTATGTTGGAAACAGGTATCTAGGATTAAAACTATACTGGAGGCAATATATTGTGCCATTTAGGGAAAAAAAGTCTGTTTCATTATTTGGAACTCCTGTTTTCATAATAGCAAGGGGGTTTTACATGCAAAAAAATATGCATGTGAAGTTAGCTTCTGGTTTTGTTTCCTTGTACTTTTCCTTTCGATTTATTGTTTTATTTCTGTGCCACCCTGCTGCCAAAGCTCTTTGGGTGGTTTGTTCTTTCTTTTGCATTTCAGAATTAAAAACAAACGTTCTGATCTCCCCCTTCTCACTTCGGTGTATGATTGTCCAAGGATGCATTTTCTCTATGACAGGAGTGCCCCAAAATTGGGAACCACAGCATCCATCAAGTGCCAAAAGGGGCAAAATTTGTTCATTCGCACTTCTTGTATTGTATTGTATTGTATTGATATCCTGCCCCTTTTCCTCTTGTGAGGAGCCCAAGGCAGTTTACATAGCTCCGTTCTATCCGGAGAGGGAGTGACCTGCCCGAGGTCACCCAGTGAGCTTCATGGCCAAGTGGGGATCAGAACCCAGGTCCTCAGTCCAGCACTCTAACCACCACACTGGTTCTCTGTCTGTAGGTGCTACAGAAAATATTTCTTCTTTTAAAATATTTTTCCCATACAAAGGGGAATCTTCTGTTTGGTACAGTTAAAACAAATGCTTATTTTTAATAGGTGTGGACTTAAAAGTTTTTACCTACAGTGATAATTTGCATAGGATAGTGTCAGTGTAGAGGTCAACCAAAAGTGTATATGATTGGATGAAACTTTGGATTTTTTTTGGTCTGGCTTTAGAAACCAGAATGCTTTTCATTTCAGACTCCTTTCTGTTTAGAATAGACTGCTTTGAATCTAGTTGTGTTTACTGTTAAACAATTGTAAAGTGGCTTCTATTTTGCACTTGTGATGATAGGATTCATCTGTTAAGCATTAATTCATCTTTCTCTGGTTAAGGTAGAATAACAATTTTTAGCCAATCTCATTCTTCCAAATAATTTTTATGCTTCCCACACTCATAGCATTTTTCTGACATATGTATTTGTAGAAGTAGCTAATTTTATACAATAAAGAACCATTCGAAGACCCATTCCTAAAATGTGTTGGTTGAAAGGTCTTTACCACTTTTTAAATAATGTTTTTGTATTGCAGAACCTACTAATAATGAAGAGTGATTCATGCCTTCTGACTGGATTCCATCACAGACCACTCAAATAACATATGTACTCCAATGTAAGAAAATCAGGGTTTGTTGGTTTGTTTTATAAAAGCTCATATGGACTTGCCACAACTGCAGAGCACTAGGGAAAAAACATTTTAGCAATTCTATTTTGGGAAGTCATGTTGCCAAGACACCACAGAAAAATTGCAATGATAAACTTTTATGTCTGCCAGAGAGTGCCTTCTGTTAGCATCTATTTAAATGAAATTATGTGTTAACAAAATATTTTTTTCCTATGCCAGAAAATTAATGTACCAAGGGTAATCTAGGGTAAGCTATACAAAACAATTTCAGTTATAGAAGCAAATTCATGTAACTTTAGATCTAACACTGAGCACATGGAGAATCTACATGGTCTAAAGAGGGAAAAATGGTTCTAGTTGAAATCTTGCAGGCTTAAGTCCAATTGCCTTAGTTCAATTCCTGTCTGTATAAATACAGTGTATTGAAGCAGAAGTATTAAGCTCATATAACCTATCCATTCACCTTTTCTGAAACTAATGAAAATAGTCATTGCAATGGTAAACACTTGTGGGGTGGGAACTAAATGAAATTATTGAACTCTGAAATTACAAGATGCAATGCTTCTTGGAAAAAAAATATCTGATATACTTCATGAGTGGCTGGCACCATAGCAAGATGCACTTGATTGCCATTGTCATGTGGTGATAACACTGTTATAGAAGGAATTCTTTAAAGGAATTAAATAACGGGTATTTAGAATTCTAACTGTATTAAGTCAGAATACTCATGACAACATGTTTCTAGTACCTGAAGTAGTAGAAATTACAACCAATCAGTTAACGATTCTAGTTTGAAATATTTATGCATTTCTGGAACTTCTATTGTATTTACTTTTATAAACTTACTAAATGAAAATATGAAAGTGAATCCTTCAAGGGTTTCTTTTAAAATCAGGACTAAATAAAGTGCAACAGATGAACAGTATAGAGAAGTTCATGTTTTAAAAAAGCCTGTCAGATGTTCAGTATGTGTTTCTACATACTCTTTAAACTATGCATCCAGTAAATTTGAGCAAAGCTTATCTTAACCATTTTGCATCTGAACCAGGAAACCTTGATTCTCTTTCAGGGTGTGTAGGGTATGGTTGGTTCTTATGCCTCTTCACAAAGTGTATAAAAATGTAACATCAAAATAAAATACTTAAGAAACATCTGTGTGATGTGGGTAATCCTATGAAGGCTGCTGAAGGAGAAGCTGAGACGGAAGAAATCCCAAAGTCTTCTCATATGTGCACTGTATGTGGCGGGCAGCTGGAGGGAAAACACCAGCTTTAGGGCTGCCATACTTTCCCTCCTGTTTCAGATGTATGCGGATGGGGGGGCAGAGAATGCAATAGTTTTGGGGCTCATTCCTGTTACCACTGTCAGAACAGCAAGGAGGTGATTTTTAGCCCTTGCACAGGGAGGCTTGGAGGGTGCTTGATATTATCAAAAGGCAAAGAGGGAAATCTGTTTTGTCCTACAGCTTCCGGGATATCTTTGTAGGAGCCATTGGAAAGCAGCCTTGGCGATATTTCTCAACCATAATAGCCTATATAGTTGTGTGTTGCTTTGTGTTTCACATCTGCTGTTATTACTTTATAGTTATACACCACTTTCCTAACTCTTGCATGGTATCCAAGACAGCTCACAAAGTCCTCATTCTGTCCTCACAACAACCCTCTTAGGTAGGCTGGGCTGAGTCTGTGAATGGCTCAAAGTCACCAACACTGAGTGGGGCCCAGAAACCAGATCTCCCAGTCCAACACTCAAACCACATTGGCTCTCCATACTGAAAATCCAAACACACTTTTATGCTAAGCAAATTAAAAACCTCACATATGACATTTCATGTAGCCAGTTTATAATTTAACATTCTGCAAAAGAGTCTTATTAAAGATTTATTTCTGGCAAGTAAGGTTACTTGAAAACATGAAATACAAACTATATCCCCAAGATTGTTTTAATCTAACAGCATTTTTGTTTAGTAAATCAAATCGTGTTAGCATAGACAACCCTATTAACTTATCAATATTTATCTGTAGTAATCTATTTTAAAGGTGCAGTTTTGGCTGGTGTGGTACACAGAATGCTATCTTTATTCCTAAATATCATAGAAACTGCTTATTAAATTTTTCTTTATTAACTTGTTCACAGTCTCATTCACTGTCTCCCGCAAAATAGGATGTTCTAAGCAACTTGTCAGTTCTGTGATGAGTCTCATACATTTTTTTATTTATTAAACTTATATATTGGCCCAAGGGTCAATACCCATACCAAATCCTGCATTGTTTTACCACTATAACAACAAGGTGGGATAAGAGTGAGCAAGCATGAGAGTGTGTGCACAGAAACACACAAACACTTGCCAAAAGTCCTCGTTTTCATTTCTGAAATAGGCTTCTTTTTGGAGAGAAGCCAGTGGGCAGAAGTAAGAAAGAAGTGAGACTGAACTGGAAAAATGCCTAGCATTACTAGACTTATAGGTTTGCTGAGGCAACTTGGAGAGGTCCCTGGATGGCAACAGCTTCAATCTCAACACGTGCACCCTGTAAGAAAAATGTCAAACATATTAGAAACTCAGTGCTGAACAGTTACTTTGCTTTTTACCAGAACCTCAATATCTATCAGCCAAAGCCTGGTGAAAAAACAGATTTAGGGCTTTTCTTCTTGAGTAGTTTAACCCTCCCCTTCTTTCTGAGGCCTCTGCTTCTGGATTCTGTTTTTCCAAGGGGTTTTCATTCTTTGACTGTGTATTATACAACCACAAGGTGATGCTGTGGTATACTGGACTTGCATGAAAACAAAGATTTTAATGCTACCATTTCCAGATAATGCTGCACATTCTTTCAAAGCAGTGGAAATGGTTGCAAAAAATGGAAGAGCTCCTCAAGGATGGTTAGGTTAGGTACCTGCAAACTACCAGGCACACCTTGTGGGGGAAAGCTGTTAGAATTAATTCAGAGTCTGGAAACATGCTCCACGTACCAGAAATGAGCAGAGCTGACAGTCTCAACACACAAGAGTTTACTGATTACCCCAAGGTTTTTTCATTTTAACAATTTAATTTAGGATGGGGTGGTCCTGTTGCTACTGGTAATGCAGTTTGGAGTCAGGAACCTTAGTTTGTCTTCCTCAACCTGGTCCCCTCCAGAAGTTTTTGACTTCAACTTCCAGCGTTCCTGATTATTGCTATGTGCACAAAGAAACTGAAGTTCAGTCCAAGCAAGACTGAGGTCCTGGTGGTTGGTGGTTTCTCTGTCCTGATGGGGGAAGCACAACTGGAAAGATAGGGCCACCTCCTGAAGGAGCAGGTATGCAACTCTGGGCTGCTTCATCATTATCTTTGGAGGCTCAAGTTGCTTCCGTGACCACTCAGCTTCAGCTGCAACCCTGCCTGGATGGTGATAACCTGGTGTCAGTGGTCTATGCTTTGGTAACACAGTACGTTGCATGTTGGGTTACCCTTAAGGACAGTCTGGAGAGACAATCTCTCAGAACAGCTTCAGAGGTTCTTCCCTCTACGTACCTCCAGGAGTTTAGGAATGGGCCTTTTCTGTGGTAGCCCCATGGTTATGGACTGGTCTCCCTAAAGCTTTCCCACCATCAACGATCCTTTACTGGCACATTACAAAGACACTTTTTCCCTGGGCACTGGAACATTAATTGTGGCCCCACTGCTGTGTTCATTCTAGAGAGGATCTAGGGAGAGAGTTTTGTGTTATGTGACTGAACAATTCTTTTTGGATTGTACTGTTTTAGATTATGCTTTTATGGTATTTTATTTTGCTGATTATGGTTCATTGATTTGGGGGTTTTCTCTCAATTACTGAATTCTATTATTTGTGCATGGAAATTTCATTGAGACTCCTTTTTTGCACAGGAGGTGATGCATCCATTTAATAAACAACAATAGCAGCACAGCCTACTTAAAAGACATCTATATATCCGAGTAGCTGCCTTGATTAAAATGGGATGGACTCTGTATACACAGGAGCCTCATGTGCTCAAAACAAATGCCTAGATCAGGATGCTAAGGGAAACACGGCCCTATATTAATTGTGGGTATTTCCAATCTCTTATCTCCACCTCTTCAATGTAATATCTTGGCAGACATTATGGAACTAAATCCACAACCTACTCTGGACTAATTTAGTTTACTATGGCATGCCTGCTGCTCTTCCAACACTAATGAACAGTTGAAATACAGTTGTACATCTATAATTTTAAACACTGTGTTTAAAATGCAATGATTAAGCCATACATTTTGGTACTATAAGGAGGTGAATTTATAAAACAAGGAGCCTGGGATACATCATAACGTATTTTTGGGGAACTATAGCTTACCTCAAGTGATGTACTCTACTCCCAGGCATTTAAGGGAGCAAGATGGAACACATCAGCTGTATCAACAGATCTAGTATTTACTGATGTTTTAGTCGTTTAAGCAGTTTTATATTTTGTATATTGGATGTTTTGTTTTATTGTATCTGTATTTTTATTGCCATTCATTTTTACTATTATGCTTATATTTATTCATTGTTGTGAGAGCTTCAGCTAAAGGATGGTACAGAAATTAATAATAATGTACACATAATTAGTAAATTGCAGCCAAATGAAATGAAAAAGATACAATCTGATGATTCTATGCAAAGCTTAAATTGATGCAAGTACATTAACTGTTCAGAAAAACAATGACATTATTGCTACTGTGCTAATCTTAAATATGCTTATAGTTTATGTGGAATATTATCATACATTTCACTCCTTATATTTCATGGCTATTTGGCTTCACTGGTTCCAGTTTTTTCCCTCTGTCCATGTACAATCTGCTGAAAAGAAAATTTGCACTTACTTTTGGAAGAGCAGCAACCTGGTAAGCCGCTCTGGCTGGAAAGTTGCACTTGAAAACTAGATGAAGAGGAGATGACAGATAATTCCATGAATATATTAAGCAAAATCAAGGTATTTACAGGTTTCATAATTCAGATGTTCTTAATATAAAGCCTCATAATTCAGATGTTCTTAATATAAAGCTTCCAGGCAGGCTTTAGTTCTGCTCAGAAACTTCAGGTGATGGAAGTTACAAACCTTGTGGTACAATATACAGGTGGAGAATGTGTTTTGTAGGTAAAGGTACAATCCTATGCATGTTTAGACAGGAAAACAGACCTACAACTTCCAATATGCCCCAGCCAAACTGATGCTGGGGTAAAAAAATAAATCACATTTTGGAGTTTATCTGGGAGACTTGAATTTAGCCATCCAGTTATGAAAATAAAGCTTTAATTGAAAAACCCTATCTATGTTTGTGTGCCCAGGATGCTGTAGGATTGTTTAGGAAACACTATTATATGGGTTGGATCCAAGGAAACAAGACAAAATAATAATTCACAAACATTTTCATAAAAGCCCAATGGGGTTCTATACTGCTGTAAAATGTTAAAGGAACAGAGGTATAACAATCTTTTAAATAAATCAACATACTGATGCACTCTTTCTCCCAACTGTGAAACTCTAGCACAACCATTACTGGATTTAGTTTAACTTTTCTCATGCAATTCTCTCGAATGACTTGTAAAACAGCCTTATGTAAACAGAAGGTATGGAAAAGCACCCTTCAGATTCAACCAAACCTCCTCATAACCCTACGAGACAGGCTAGGCTGGGAGCCTGAGGTTGCTCAAGTAGATTAATGGCTAAGTAGTGATTTGAACATGGCTCTCCAGAGTCCTAGGGCAAAGCAAATTCAGAATATGGGCTTTTGAAGCAGAACAATCCATCACAATTATTCATTGTCAATCCTGATCTTCCCCGTCCCTTTCTTATACCTCTTGGAGGAAACCACCTCACTTCACTTTTGTACAGGGCAAACCCTGCAGTCGGTAGTATAAAAATGTTCTTTTTTTAACCCATTTTAATTTTTTTAAGACAAAAAAACATAAATACAATACATCATAACAATAATATAACAAAAACACAATAATAAAAGGTAAATGATAAAGTGTCCCCACCACCCAGAGACCAATGCTACCACCATTCACATACTATAACAATAATATATATACTTCAATTATTGAAGTCCCTTCTCCGGGAACCCTCCATGAAAGAAATTAGGAGAGTAAGTACCCGGAGGAGGGCTTTCTCTGCGGTGGCACCCAACCTATGGAATTCACTCCCCAAAGAGGTCCGCCTGGCACCGTCGTTACTGGTTTTTTGGCGCCAGGTAAAGACCTTTTTATTTAAACATCATTTCAATTGTTAAAACATATGATCTGGCCAGGGCAACTTCTTCTTCCTTCTCTTTCTCCTCCTATATTTTTATTTTATACTGATAATTTTAATTTAATTTTTGTAAATCAATGTATTCTTTGTATTTTTATATTTAATGGTAATTTATTACGTACTATTGTATTTCAATGTATTTTATCATGTTGTAAGCCGCCCCGAGGTTTCGGCAAGGGGCAGCATAGAAATGCTATAATAATAATAATAATAATAATAATAATAATAATAATATTTCCATATCCCCTCCAGAAGTTCATATAATCTTGACTGGGTTTACAGCCTTTGCCTTCTATCAGTACTGCTTTTACAAAATCTTCCCAGATTTCATTATATTTATTTGCTTTCATGAACCCTCTTTTAATTTTTATTTCTGTCATCAGTTTATCATTAATTACTATGTTCCATATTTCATTCTACCATTCATGCCTTTGCAAAACCCAATTCTGTTTCCAATATTTAACTTTCACTAGCCTAACTATCATTATCATACTTACAATCAATTCTTGCTTAGCTTCATTTGTATCTTGGGTAGTATAAAAGTTTTATGCAGTGCTAGGAGTACTTACATTGCTTGTAGACTTCATTAATATCATCAAAATCGTTCATGTCAACCATCAGCACGGTAGTCTTTACCACTAGAAGTTAGAAAGCACTTTTATAAATTAAGTTCCAGATGAACAAGCTGTAAAAATGTAATGATGATGTTTCAGTCTGCCCTCATCTGTACAACTGGGCTTCAGTTTGCTCATTCACTGAGTAAACCTGCAAAGATTGTACTGTAAGACAAGAATTAATTTTATTTCTTATTGTGTGAAGGTGAAAAACTTGGAAGCAACCTGTGGTTGTAGGGCTGGTTGCATCAACTTCTAATTTCCCTAAAGCAGAAATAGGAAACCTGCTGCCTTCTATAAATTCTGGACAACACCCTTAATCCCTGTCCAGCTGGTTGGGGCTAATAGGAGGTGTAGTTCAAAGTACCAGATTGTCTATCTTTGCTTTAATTAATTATTGATTTATTGCCTTTATATACTGTTCAACAGTCATACAAGGCTCCCAGAACAGTTTACCCCCCTCCCAAAAGGTAAAGTAATATAATAGTAAAATGTGCTTCTGTTTGGGGTAAACCTTCCTGCTTTCCAATACTGCACAGGAAACCTTAATGAGTCTCATGTTTATTATCCCTAAACTCCTCCTGTGTAATAACCCACTGACTCAGCAAGTACAACAACACTCCATGAAAACCTCCTGATTTTTCCTGCCCACAGCCAGCACTACTCTGGAACTTAGCTCATAAACCCAAGAGTGCCCTAAGCTTCCATCTCAGTGAAGTATGCTCCAAAACGTTCCTGGGATATCCCAGACCCCAGTTCCCAGTCACTGTAGACTTCTTGCATCCCATCAACTCATGTCTAGTGCATCCAAGAACACCACTGTTTTAGTAAGTCCACTACACTGCCTACATTCAAAGCTGGAATAGCCTGCTGCAGGGTATAAGTGAACAAAGACAAAAGAGAGGGAATGGTAACTATAAAAAGAACAGAAGTCTCAGGTTTTGCTTGTGTTTCGCAAGATGTATGGTTTCGACTTCCATTTCCCAGGTATAAGAATCTTGTTTATTTCTGTACAGCTCATACAATGTAGAGCTGAGCAGTTGCTCCCGATGAGTCAGCTTGCCAGAATCAGGGAATTAGTTCAAAAGAGCCTAAAAATGGAAGTAACACTTTAAGAAGGAGAACATGGGAAACCTTCAAAATCCTAGGTCCACAGAATGGAGGTCTGAAAACATGCTTGTATCAAACAGAGGTTTTATGAACTTAATGTACCTCTACCAAAAACTGGTAGAACCTGAAAAAAGAAAAGGAAAAAAAGATAAACTGTAAACATCAAAAAAGGGGAACGGTCTTGGTTCCAAAGCTGCAGATATTTGGCAGTTCTTTCTCACAAAAGAAAAAATGCTTTGTCATTTGCTTTAGTGTACATTTACTCACCATTATCTTGGTTACAGTCAGCAGCTTTCAGAATTTCCCCAATATTTTGAAGGGCCTAATGATAAACATATAAATGAGTTCTAGTTATTTATTTGGGTTTCCCACCGAGCTCCTTGGACTCAAAGCAAAGAAGCAAGTATGCAAGCTTGTACAATGCTATGTAAACATATCACATAGCATAACAAAAATCAGCTATTTATGATGAAATAAACCTAAATTGAAGAAAATGTTCAAGCACCAAATGGCTGGTCCAAAGATACCCATTTAAGCACCATTAAGTTCAACAGACAGTGTGACTAACTTTCTCTGGATTGAGACCTAAGCCTAGGAATGCATGATAATGGCACAACTACTATTTCTGTTGTGTCCGATGGGCACATCCACATGGGAGTTCCCAGTTCTTCTGCTTAGCAAAGTAACCCAGAATTGGGAATGCAGACATTGTCCTGAAAGAGTATGTGCCCTTGCCCCTAGCATCTACCTGTGAAGGGCACCCAGATCTGCAAGAATCCCCCATTAACTTTGCGGCTAATTGGCTGTCATGTAGATGGATCCAACCCATACATTCAGTGTGGAGTCATTTCAAGCCTTCCAGGCACATCCTTAAAACAGGGATATGCAAACTCAGCCATTCAGACCAGATCCAGCCTTCTTGGGTCTCAATTTAGCTCCCTTGAGTTCCCAGAGGGACCCTTTCTCCCAACCACTGATCTTCTGGTGGTTTCCCAGATTTTGAGCCATTTTTATTCTCATTGTAAAAGCTTGCAATGCTTATCCTTAGGCTTATTGGCAAGGAGAGCTTTAAGCTAAAATATGCTGGCATCTGTGGTACTTTCAGTCTTGCTGCAGCCCTCGCCCACCACTGGAATGGGCCCTTTCAAAGCTCCTCCAAAAGGAAATTCAGCTATCAGGCTGAAAGAGGAGCTGCACCCCATGTTAACAGTTCATGCATGCGACATGAAAATTGGCCTCAGATGCACTAGGAGAATAAGTCATGTTTCACCTGTTTAGCTTGTTCCTTTGCTCCTCCAAGCACAAGTTGCCCGTTTGAGGGATCCATGCCTAGCTGTCCTGCGATATACATGGTCCGGTCTACCAACACTGCTTGACTATGGTTGAGCAGTACAGCCAAAGAAGGGAAAGAGGTCGGGTGAGGGGGACACAATAAGAAAGAGATTTAATGCCTGGCTATGTTAAAACTTTTTGCATTTTCTTTTGGAAATTGCTTTATTTCACAATAGTTTCCCATCCACAATGTAGAAGTGAGGCAAGCAACTTCTCCAGCTGCTAAGAATGCCTGATACGTGGACTTTAAAAATATGCGAAGGGAAAAGAGAACTGCAGATGGCAATGTGGATTTTACAGAAAATTCTCCAAAAATTATTCCAGTGTAGATCATGCTAATTTTCATTTGGTAATTTGAAAATGTCTGATGTTCTAGAGGGCAGTGCCCACAGGAACCCATGAACTTAAAATAAAAATACTTTTTTAAAGTATATGCACACACATTTGTATATATTCATACAAGTTAATATAGATGAAATCCATACAACTTTCTAGCAAGCATACGTAAACTTTAATGAGCAGACCAAATATCCAAATAACTATCTGTTTGAAAGTAGTATCTATATGCCACCCCTTCAAATATTGAAAGCACTATAAAATTCACAAAGCACTGGAGACAAGTGTATATCCTTTCAATATTATGTCTTTTTTCATCAGTCAAAAGGATGTGGAGGATCCATTTATGCTGACTATTTGTTACTTCCCTTCAAGAAGGTAAACCATCTGAAAAAGAAGGTGCATCTGTGCCACAGAACAGCTGATTGGGGTTGACTGCTGGACTAGCCCTTTGCCTAAGCTGAAAGTACTTACCAGCAGGAACACCCTTCTGTTTTTAGTTTTGTTTTTGTAAGTGTGTTTCCATTTACTTGATTGTAACAGTTTGCAACAGAGTGTTAACAGAAGTGCTGCAGCTGGATTGGGCTAGGCTATGGCCTCCTCTGTGCCTGGACTAGCTCTGGAAGAGGCCATAAAGACCCAGCCCTCCTGTGGTTGGTACAAAAGAGGGGCATTAAAGTGATTGCCCCTTTGGGAGAAACTAATTCAGGGTGGGAGTAATACAAGGGCAAGGGGACACCCAAACATCTTGCTTGGTTTGGCTGTTCGTCTTGGTTCTTGATAGGGCCTGTGTTTATGTGTGTTTATGTCTTAGACTCTAGAGGAAGAACGTGGTGCCAAGTGGGGAGACCCAGTGCAGTGATGAGCAGAGGAGAATATGGCATTGGGAGAGAGCTGGAGTTACAGCCAGCTATGAGATGCACTGTGCCTCCTCGTATCTGCAGGTTTGGTGGTTGCCTTACCAACCTGCCCTCAGATTTCTGGATGCTGCTTTTAAATGCCTAGATAGGACAAAACAAGACCTCCCTCATCCATGAGGAGGCCAATCGGGCATGCATAGCCAAGACCTGGGTGAGTAAACAAGGAGGAATCAGTCTCTACCAGTTGTATCCACCAGCATGCTTGGTTCAGTACCAGGGGAGAAAAGAGGATGAGCTATGCAGGGAGTTATAAGCCTTGTGTCTGTCTAAACTTGCACAGGATTGCAGCTTTAGAGACCGCTGGAAGAAGAAGCATTGAACATTTGCTTTGACAGTACAGAGTAGTGATTAGTGAGCTGGACTGGGACCCATGATGCCCACTGGGCCAGTCACTGATTCTGAGCTGAATCTAGGTTGTTGTGAAGGTAAAATGAAGTGGCCTATATGAGCCACTGTGGGTTACTTGCAAGAGGGAAAAAATACATCCATGACAACATAAGCTTATTCATTATTAATTACTCAACTTGACTCCCAGGCACCAAACACATCTCCTGCTACATTGGAAACTTAAGCTGAGCAGAAGTATTCTGTTTGAAGAAGACAGCAGGTTGGGAGAAGGCTGATTTAGTGAGATGTGAAATTCTGGGGAGACCAGTTTCATTCACGTGTTTCACTTGCCCTGGGTTGATTTTGAGAAGAAATTCAGAAGCTTTTGCTTAACTATAGTCCAATAGCATGACTACAACTATCTTCAAAGAATCAACTTCATAACATTGTTATGAAGCTGGCTTGTCTGAATTGAACATATAGTTACCATTAACATCATGGATTCAGACAGAATAGCAAGCCATGATTAATCCAAAGAGGGAGTTTCCAGACTCCTCCTCCCAGCCATGTGGGGGCAAGAGTGGGGAATAGGGAATATATAAGCTCAAGGAGAGGCTAGGGTTTGTTGAAGTTTGGCAACCAACCCATATTTCAGTGTGGCATTCAAATGCAATGTTATTTGAACAATCATAGGCCTTCCCATGGGTCTGTTATGTTATGTCAGAAGTGATTAACCACCCTTGAGCTCATCTTCCCCAAATCAAAAATAAAGTTCTAAATCCAACCCCAAGTATCAACATTGTCATATTAAATGCTCAGACTTTGATCTGAGGCAACACTATTATTTAATTTCTATAGTGCCTAATAGCCAAGACTCTCTTTTACTTGCAGTGAAAACATGTATTTGGGGAGGGAACATGTCTTTGTGATATCATCCATCCTATAAAAATGATTAAAGTGTTCCAACTTCCATTTTATTTATTTACTTACCATTTAAGAACAAATATATCACATTTAAATCTATGTGTTGGCAGGGGGAAGAACTTATTTTTCTTACTGTATGAGCAAAAAAAATCTGGAATCCATTGGATGCTTGAAGGTTTTCAGTATGGTCTGTCATAACATCATACTCAGTCTCTTTTGTATATCCTGAGGAAAGTTTTTGACAAATATTGCCATCTATCTATGTTCCTAATTTGTATGTACAATATGCTAAATTGTATAAAATCAGACATTTTGGGTTTAACATAGTTAATTTCAATCAGTATGTCAATTTTCTGACATTACTATTTGTCACAATTCTATGTGTACCAAGATTTCAGTGCTAGTACTTTGAAGTTTTCCTGCCATCAGCATAAACACAACAAATTCCTTGGATGTTCCATTTGCATTTTGTTCTTCCCATATTATTAGGTTGAGTTCAGGTTACTCTTGTGATAGCATCTTCAATTCAAGTATTCCATTCCATACATTTATTACTTAATAGTTTTTGCATCTGTATTTAAATCCTGCATCCATAAATTAAACTATAAGAAAATGAAAACCTGAGTTTCCCCCTCCTTGAATATGACAAATGAATTGGGAAAGAATGCCAACAGGGGTGTTACCCCAGTTAAAAGGCTACAGACCTGCAAAGTGCTAGTAACATGCTTATTTTTTACTGGCCTCTTAAAATGAGCTATTTTAAAAGACTGAGGTCAGACAAAATTTGTATGGGAAATCCTGGAATTAACAAAGATGCCATGCATTGGTATAATGTTACCCCTCCAATCTGTAATGGTGCTTTACCTAGCCAATCCTCCAATCTGTAAATATGTAGATTTGGTGCACACAGAGTGAAAACTTTGAATAAATTTTGAAAAACATCTATTTCCTTAGGTAAGCATAATAAAATTAAAAATGAAGGAAGCTCCCTTATCATACCAAGTCAAATCATTTGTATTTCTAGCCCAGTAAAGGTAGTTTAATTGTGCACTGTCTCAGGCTACAGGTCTTAACCACTGCTTGCTACTGGATAGGAGTGTCAAAGCCTGAAACTAGAACTTGCAGTGTGCAAAGCAGGTGCCCTGTTTCTAAGCTGTGGCCCACCTGGGGTATTCCAAATTCATGGAAGCCTTTTCAAGAATGGGTGATTTATGATTTGCACCTCATGCATGATGATGAGTTTCTCTAAAACACTTTCAGATGAGAAGCAACCAACTTTGGCTGCAGTCCCATAAACACCAGTTCAGAGCAGACTTGTATATCATAGTACTGTTGGGCTTTAACATCTAGCTCAAATATGTTGAAAAGATTACACAGGAGGGAATACCACTCCGTTTCTATCAATTGATGTTTAAGGAATGCTCACAACATCTAATCCCACCTAATTCTATTACTATTCTTGTTACTTGCTGTCAAGTCCTTTCTGGCTTATGGCAACTTTATGAATAAATGCCCTCCAAGGTGCCCTCTCCTTGACTGCCCTGCTCAGCTCTTGTAAACTCAAGGTTGTGGTTTCCTTTATGGACCTGAGCCATCACATAATTGGTCTTCCTTGTCTTCTCCTGCCTTAGACTTTCCCTACCATTATTATCTCACAATACCATTACTGTATCCCCCAGCAAGTCTTGCCTTCTCATCATGTGTCTGAAATACAAACCGTCAGTTTCATAGTTTTTGCTTCCAGGAAAAGGTCTGGCTTGAATTGATTTAGAACCCACTTGTCCATTCTGTCAGTTCAGGGTGTTCGCAAAGCTCTCTTCTAAGTACAATGTTTCAAATGCATCAAGTTTCTTCATGTTAGCTTTTTTCATGTCCAGCTTTCACACCCCTGCTTTGTGAACGATTTTGCATGCCCAGTTACCATGTCAATTTCTTCACTGTTAACAGTAAAGCTCTGTAATTCTTCTGCAGTCATGGGTTTGTTTGTTTGTCTTTTGTATTCTTAGTATTCAGCTGCAGTCCAACTAAATCTTCTTTAATTTGTATGAGCAGTTGTTTCCCTTAATTGCTACTTTCTTGCCAGTAATATGGTATTATCTGCATAACTTAAATTATCTATACAGCGTATCAACTCTTCCTTCCTCTGATCCTAATGCAGGTTTGTGATATAGTCTGTCTAAAGATTGAACAGATAGGGAGATAAATTGCACCCTCGCCTGATTCCTTTGCCTAAAGGAAAGGACTAAGTTTCATTATATTCTGCCCAAAGAGTAGCTTCTTGTCCATGTGCTGAGCCATATCCATTTTTTTCAGGCGCAGCCACAGCTTCTGCACCATCAAAGGTTATGCTATAAGCATAGACTGATTTTCTTCTAAAGCTGTGTGTGTGCGCGCACGCAATGTGAACTTAACTCTGCTTCCTTTTTGGAATCCACCTTGGGTATCACTTTGCTTACATGCAAAATTAGTGCAATAGTTCTACAGTTACTGTACTGCTTTTTTGAGAATTGGAAAGTATATTGCATGTTTTCAGTTTGTGGGTCATTGTTTTGTTTTTCCCACTATTGACATAGGATTTCAGTTTCTGCAGCTTAGGGTACCAATAAAACTATTCTATTTTTGGTGCCTTATTCCTTCCAAGGGCTTTCAGAGCAGTTTTTGCTTCACTTTCTAATACTGGAGGTTCTTCCTCATATAATTCCTCTTTGAGAGGGGTCTGTCATCTTTTTATCTCTTCTGTATATTGTTGCCACTTTCTCTTTATTTCATCGTGGTTGGATAGTATGTTCCCATCTTGGTATTTCACCATTCCTAACCCAGGTTTGAATTGCCCTTTGAGTTCTTCTGGGCATTTCTTTTACTTCTTTTGCTGTACTCTTCTATTTATTTTCACTGATCATTGCAATAGTTCTTTTTGTCTCTGTGTGAAAGTTGCTGAAAAGTTTCATTCAGGATTCTGACCTGGTTTCTATCACCTGCTGCTTCTCTCCTGTCATTAGCAATTATGACTGCTCCTTCTGTCATCCATCTAGGCTTTTTCTTTCTTTTTGCTAAAGTAACTCTCTTTTTGCATTCTTCCCTAATAATGTCTCTGGTTTCAGTCCAGAGTTTTAATCCAGTATTGAAAAAAATCAGTCTGCAAGCACGTCAAAGAAAATGTAATGCTTAATAAAAGCCAACATGGATTTATCAAGAATAAATCCTGTCAGACTAATTTAATCTCATTGTTTGACTGGATAATCTTCCAAACTGACAGCAGAAACACTGTGTACATAATCTACCTTGACTCTAGTAAAGCTTTTGACACAGTGCCTCATAACATCCTGATAAGCAAACTAGCAAAAAGTGGACTAGACAGAAAAACTATGAGGTTGCAAAGTTGGTTGCTAAATCAGGAACAAAGAGTGCTCATCAATTACCTTCTCAGACTGGAGAAAGGTAACTAGTGGAGTGCCCCAGGGTTCAGTCCTAGACCCAGTGCTCTTTGACATCTTTATTAATGATTTGGAAGAGGAAGTATAAGGAATGATAATTAAATTTGGAGACAATACAAAACTGGGTGGAACAGCAAACACCCTGATGATCCAGGGCAATCTTGATAAGCTTGAACACTGGGCTGAAATAACAAAATGAGATTCAATAGAGACAAATGCCAAGGCCTCCACCTAGGAAAAAGAAACCAGATGCATTGATACAAGATGGGGAATATGTAGCTCAGCAGTACTGCAAAAGAAAAAGACTGTGGAGTTATTGTGGACAACAGGCGAAATATGAGCCAACAATACAGTACAGCTACAAAAAGGGCGAAAGCTATTTTGGGATAACAAAAGTATTACATCCAAATCATGAGAAGTAATAGTTCTCCTATTTTAGAACACTGTCCAGTTCTGGGCACCAAGATTTCAGAAAGATGCAGAAAATTACAAAGGGTCCAGAAAAGGGCAACAAAAATGATCCGGGGTTTGGAAACATTGCCCAACAAAGAGAGACTGAGGGAGCTAGCTACGTTCAGCCTTGAGAAGAAAAGAATGAGCGTGAACATGAGTATTTCTCATGAGTACTTCAAGGGCTATCACAAAGAGAAAGGACAAGATTTCCTCTCGCTCATACCAGAGTGTAGGACATGCAATACACAAGTTGTGATAAAACCAGATTCAGGCTAGATATCAGGAAAATTCTCCTGTCAGAGCAATACAACAGTGGAATCTGTTGCCTAGAGAGTTCATGGGCTCTCTCACACTATAGACATTCAAAAAAGAAACTAGTCAGTCATCTGAGGGAAATGGGGTAAACTGATGTCCTACAACAGCAGGAAGTTAAGTCAGAAGTTAGCCAGATGGCCTTGGCCCCTTCCAACTCTGCTATTTTATGTTTCTGTGATTAACTTGGTTCATAGTTGACAATGAAGTTCAGTAATGCAAATCTGTTTTTTATTTGGACTTTAAATCCCTCAGAAATGTTATTTATGCTGTATGGTGGCATTTTTCTTCTGTTAGTGTTCGTTCTCAGCTTTACTCTGATTTTTCTGTAGTAATAGTAAATGGTCACTACCCCAATCTACTTCCTGGTCTTGTTCTGGCAGTCAGAAAATAGATTTTCTATCTGCTACTTTCAATTATGTAGCCTACTTGATGCTTATTGGTACAGGTATCTGATCAGCTCAAGTATTTATTTGGAAGAAACAGATTGTTGGCTTCACATAAATTTATGAATCATTCCCTTGCTTCATTTCTGACCTGTAGACCAAGTTCTCCCAAAACTACTATTTGCATCAGCAAGAGAAGATGCTACTTTAAGATAAATTGTAAAACTAGTAAGAATGTCCAATAGTTATTCTCCCTTGGTGTTTCAGTTCCTCAACATATTACTATGTTGAAATCAAGGTAATCTACCTGGACACTCTGCTCAACCTCTGAGGCCCTCCTATGAGTGCCAAATCTGAGGGAGGTCCAGAGGGTGGCAATAAGGAGTATGGCTTTCTTGGGGTGGCCCCCATCTAGGGAATACCCGCCCCGCTGCAGCCTGGCTGGCAATGAATCTGTCATCTTTTCAGCTCCAGGTTAAGACAGCTCTCTTTTCTGAGGCTTGTAACAACTTATTTGGCCACCCAGAGACTTGTGGAGGATCACCAGGTGTTCTGCAGGGTCATTTTCTCACTCTCGGTTATTCCTTGTTATTCTCTTTTTTATTATCTGTTTGAAACTTTTGAATATTTTTTCTGATTTTATATTTTTATTGTACTTTTATCATTTGTTTTTATGGTCTGTGTAAACCACCCAAAGTGCTTCAGCTATGGGGTGCTATAGAAATTAAATAACTAAAGCTGAAGACCTTGCTTTCTCCTTATTATTTATCATATCTATTAACTTGTACAAGAAACCTACCCTGCAACAGCAGTCTCAAAGCAGACCCACATAATTAATAATCCCTAAAAATTACTCATTAACTATGGTTTCAGGTTGTTGAGCAACTCAAGGCTAATTCTGTCCAAAAATAAAAGCAAAAGATAATAAACCAAAGGTAAAGGTTAATTCAGTTAGAGTTGTCAAGCATTATGAACTTCACCAAGCATGGTTTAGAAACAGAGGAATCAATAAAAAAGCATCCCAAAATAAAGAATTCCCAAACCCTAAATGGATAATTATGAATCCTATAGCTGGTCAGAAGAGAGAAACCAAGATGACATAGTAGGAGATTTGAAACAATGCTTTTATTTTAATTGCCAGAGAGGTAAGTGTTCAGTTGCGATCCTATCCACAATGACAGCCCAATCCTGTATGCCTACTCAGTAGAACACATGGATTAGATGCTTATGCAAAATCCACAGTAAGCCATAGCACCCTCCTACTCATGTTCCTCGGCCTGCAGACTTCGACGGTGGATGCAATACCAGACGTCGAGACTAGTAAGCACTGAGAGCCCTGTTGAAACCGCCCTCCCCCCACGTGAGAATGCGAATTCCGCAGGTTAACCGGCTGAGCGAAGGAATGCGTTCTGACGTTACCCGTACCTGTAAGGGCCCATCGCAGCAGGAGCCCTAGCGGTGCTAATAATTTTCTTTACTAATGTGGCCATAGCAACGACGGAAACAGCAGCTCCCCTAGACTCTTCGTAAGCTGACGAACAAAGACACAACTGCAGCCTGACGCTCCCGGCTTTTTAACTTGACCAGCCACCCCTTTTTCCCTGATCCTCCCCGAAAAACTTAACGCTCCGCCCCATCAGCTATTAAGAAGCAAACCCGGCGCGTGATTGGTTTAAGACCCTCTCCGCCCACCGTAGCCTCTCTTGTTGCGGAGGATTATGGGGGATGCAGTCTAGAGTGTAGGAACAGGACGGAAGTTGTGGGAAAGAGTCGGTGGCTGGAGGTGCGTGAAGCTTTTTCGGTTGGAGGAAGTGAGCGCAGCGTGGCTGGTTAGCCAGTTGGCCGGCCGGAAGAATCGTGGCAGGTACTGCTGAGTGACGGCCTGGCTCGTCCAGGGCAGGTTGTAAGCTTCACGCCCCGAGAACGCAGCGCCGGTACAGTCTCAGGTAGTGGGGATGATAAAGAGGAGTGGGACAGGACGGGGACAGGGCTTAGGTTTGGCCCGCTAAGTGGTGCTCGAGGCAGGAGGCCGGGGAAATGCGTCCTCTTAATAAGAGGCGCTCGCCTAGCTAACGGCTGAGGGGAGGTGTGTTCCGTAGCGTAAGCGCCGGAATTTCCCGCTTAGAAACATGTTTCTTAACAGGCCCACAGAACGGAATGCCTCGCGCTCCAGTATTGTCCTGTGAGTGCACCTCGTGGTGGACAACCAGTGGCAGACTATCGCCATCACTAATTTCAGGCAATTCAATAACCCATGTACTCCAGGAATGAGTGAGGGATGCCTATGAGCTGTGGGTTGCCCTTGAAGTGTGGGTTATTGTGTTGCCTGCACCCAGCTGCACTAACAAGTGATGGTTTGTTAACTAGGAACAAGCCATGAAGAGAACACATAATGTTGGTCAGTGAACTATGGTTTATTCACTATGGTTTGCATAGTAAACCCTATCTCAGCAAAACCCATGTTTCAAATCATGATTTGTCCTATGTATGAGTTATTGTGTTGGTTTAACCCTGTCCTTGTATTAATGGATGGGGGAAGAGAGTGAGTTTGTAGTGGTGGGTGAAAAAAAGAATTTTTGGAATTTGTGTCTAATAGGTGCTTTTCAAATATGAAAAAGTCCATATTTCCTTTGCTACTTTTATTTCAGGCTACTCAGGCTTGTGTAGCAATCTATATTTGTATCTTTACCAGGGTTGTTCAGATATAGACCTTCATCTGCAATGACACTGTACAAATTAATATAATGGAAAAGATGCAGAGGTTCCCATTTCATAGCCTCTTATTTGCTCATTGACAGAGGGGAGCCAGAAGTAGCCTAATGATTCCAAATGCTCTTTTCTATCCAGCATCTATTGCTATTTTAATGAACCAAAGACAGAGCAACAGCTTTGTACAGCATGTGTTGCTGATGTAGGAAGGATGGAGCTGCAGTAAGAAGCAGAAGCCAAATCATCATCCAGCTCTGCAGTCTGAGAGGGTGACTCCACAAAAATCCAGGAGAGTGGAATAAAGCAATTCAGCATTACATTACTGTGCAATATCTCAGCTAATGTAGTTTAGTTTATGTCATAGTAATTGTTTACTTTTTTGTTTGAGTGGGAATTGGGTGGCATGTATAAATGCAGTAACTGCTTCAAGAACTTTGGGAAGGAAGCAGTCTCCACAGTTAAAGAATAAAAATCTATGTGCATAAAATATTGGGTTTTATCAGAAGATAATCTAAATCGCTTTCATTTTAATGGATTTTTTTCTAAGTAGGGCTAACCACCCATTGTTGTGCTATCTACATTAATAAATGGGCTTCGGTTTGAGTAGATTGTTACTATTAATCTTAATTCTGCAATGGCTTGTTCTTTATGTTGTTGCTGCTTTTGTACAGAATGGTTTGAGGATCTGTAGACTTTAGTCAGTTTTATACCCCAATGTCTCTTTTTGTGTTGCTTATAGTTATATATTCACTGGGTCTCAGTATTAGAGAGTGATGGTATCTGTAATCATTTTTTCTTGTACTGCAGAAATGTCAAATGCAAAAGAGAAGAAAAGGGCCAAGAAGATGAAAAACCAGCCTGCCAGTGTGACCTTTCCCTCTGAAAGTGGGTCTGGCCAGAGTGAAATGTATTTTCGGAATGGTGATGACAGAACTACTCAACGCAAGAAACAAGGTGACTGTTACAACTTACTCTCTTCATTGATAGTCTGAAAGAGGAATAAAACCTGTTCTGAGTGGCTTTAGTTCGTAAGCCCAAGGGCACATTTTATTTCCCCTCCCCCATGAGGTGTTGCCTGTTGCACCTCAAAGAGAAAAGGAAGGGAGCACAGTGGCACAGAATGGTAGGAATGTTGATAAAAAAATGAGAAAAGGGAAGATTTCAGGGAAGGGTATCTGCTAGCTTACTAAGAAATAGCTCTTTTGTGTGCTGCTTTTGTATCACTTTGGAAGCTCAGGGAGAGGGATCTGGCCAGCACAAGAGCTACAACCCTTGCTTAAGGAGCCTGAAGGTGCCACTCCAAAAAAGGTAGGAGAAACTGCCTTTCATTCCTAACCTGGAGAAACAGCATTCCAGTTGTCTTGCAGTGAGCAGAGGATGTTTTCTTATACAAGGTCAGACCATTTCTCTGTTCACCATTCTCTTCCTGACTGGTAGTGCCTTTCCCAAGTCTAAAGCAAATGATCTTTTCCCTCATATGCTGCCCAATCATGTTTACCTCAATATGTATGGAATAAAACTTGGGAGCTTTTGCATGTAGAATTGTGTCCTTGGTTAAACCAGACATAGAGGAGGAGAGACTAGTTATGACTCAAGGGAATTCCTATAATCCATAGGAGGTAATTTTATAACTTGGTTTTGGTCTGAAAGATTAAACAGTTACTAGGGATCGTATTGTAGCATGAATAATTATGGGTTAGTAGCATGGGTTCTTATGTTGTAATTAAGTTTTTCACAAAGCAATATTCCAACATGCCTGAAGTTTCAAGAGATTTGAGATGAATGCTGCCCTTAATGGTAGTTACATAAGGTGTAGGTACTCTAGATGTTTTAAATTGTAACTCCCCTAAACCTCAGCCAGCATGGCCGGTGGTCTGATTATGAGTTGTAGTCCTAAGCACACAGAGGGTAGAAGGTTGCTTACCCCATCCCAAATATTCAAGTGCTAACTGTAGCTTAACTCCCAGTCTGTTCTTTGCAACAAAATCTGACTATATTAAATACCTTTAAATATGCTGCCATGTGAATATCTTCTGCAATAAAGTAGCATCCTGTCACATAAATCTCCTTTTGGAATGCTGTTTAAATAAGAGAGTTAATAAACTGCGGAGCTGCTGCTAAATAACTGAAAATATCTTTTTTTTTTTTAAGATCAGTGATTTAGATTGTAGTATGCATCATAATATAAAACTCTTCTTTGACTTATCAACAGAATTGCACTTTGAAACCTCACAGCAGGGCTTCTCACATCAAAAAACTACCCATGGAATGCCCAAATATGTAACAGGTAAGCAACTATGAAGACCTGTCAATCTTTGCTCTGGGTCTGTGCATTTAAATGATAGGTTATAAATTAGGCCACAATAACTGTCTTAATGTGACCTGAAGTGATTGATCACAGTCCTGTTTATACTCCTTTGGCTGTGGCTTGGTCCATTGTTAGATATAGCCCCCATTTGACTTTTCTTATGACTCGGTGACCCTTCATAGAAAAGGTGTGCTAGATTGTAGTGCTAGATGTAGTTTTCAGTGTGCAGAGAAGCGATCAAGTGATCCCCTACTCCTGCACTGAGTCTAAGGAGGAACACAGATGTTATTGCTTCTAGTTAGGTTAGCTAGTTTTGCTAAAGCCCCAGTCTGTGGTTAATTTTAACTGCGTTTGTCTGAAATAAACTAGTTTCAATCCATGGATCATTTATTTATTAGATTTATAACCTGCCTTTTTCCATACAAGAACTCAAGGTGGCTTACTCCTGCTGCTCTCAGTCTTATCCCTAGAACAACAATCCTGTGAGGTAAGATTGGGCTGAGAGTCTATGAGTGGCCCAAAGACACCCAGTTGTCCAAGCTGGGACTAGAACCCAGGTCACCTGAGTCCCAGCCCCGCGCTTTTAACCACTGCACCACACTGGCTTTCTTGAACCTTGTTCACTCATAGTTAACATTATCCACAGTTTAAGGTTTGGCTATAATGTCAAGCTGTGACATTATAAGCAAAAGCTTCTGTTCTGCTTCTCACAGCTGTGCTGGATGAGCAGAGGGAAGGGCAAATACATTAGCTTGACAGTAGCTGCTGCTTGTTCTCTTCACATAAAGCTATAGCATAGTATGATGTGGCGCCGTCGTTATTTGTTTTTCGGCGCCAGGTGAAGACCTTTTTATTTAAACATCATTTTAATTGTTAACAATATTTACTTATTTATCTGGCCAGGGCGACTTCTTCTCTTTTCTTTTATAACTTCTTTTATATCGTTTATATTTTTTATTTATTTTATATTATTAATTTTAATTTTATATTGTTATTTTTGTATTGTATTGTATTTTATTGTGTTGTAAGCCGCCCCGAGGCTTCGGCAAGGGGCGGCATAGAAATGTTCTAATAATAATAATAATAATCATAATAATATGCTATAAAGCTATATCATGGTTGTGACCAAATTGTTTTTTGAATCCACAGAATGTAGTAGTATGCAATCAACTTACACCTGTCTGTCTGCATGTACCTGTATTAACTGTTTTGAGTCCTATAAAAAGGAAATGTTGGTCTCTTGTAACTTTTTCTTTTCTAGTCTCCTGGGATCATGATTTTCTTGTGCAGGCCAACCAAGTGGCCACTTGATTGACCATGGTAGCTGACCAAATCAAGATATTTACTGGTTCCTGAGGCCATGTTCCTCTGAAATTCAATGTGAAGCCAGGGATAAGCCCTTGTTCACCTCTATGCTTAAAGCTGGAAAATGAATAGAGATCATCCCCACAGCTGTTCTGTACTTCAGAGGCACACTACTAAAGTGGCAAGCTCTGGCATTCCTCTCCTGCTTTCAACATGATTTGAGGGCTGAGGCTTGCCCTTTGCTGTGTTTGGAAGAAGTTCAAAGCAGTTGTGCAAAAGCATTATCTGAGATTTTAGTCAACTGTACATCAGATTCTTTGATGTAAATTAAATGTCTTAGCAAGCGATCTTATGCAAGTTTAGATGGAAAAAAGATGGGCAGTCCCTTATTTTTCCCTGGCTAAATTCCCATAGGATTGTATTTTTATTTATGTATTTATTTATAGCATTTTTATGCCACCCCCATCACAGAAAGCCTCAGGGCAACTTACAAAGAAAATAAACATTATAAGATAGAATGACATTAAAAATTCGGAGCATCTCGGCAATAGTTTAAAACCAATAAATAAAAACAACAATTAACAATTAAAATATCATTTAAATAGAAAGATCTTGGCCTGGTGCCAAAAAACGATGGCGCCAGACAGATCTCTCTGGGGAGCACATTCCATAGGTGGAGTGCCACCACAGAGAAGGCCCTCCTCCGGGTACTCACCCTCCTAATATCCTTCACGGAGGGCTCCCGGAGAAGGGCCTCCTTCACCTATCTCAGGGGGCAGGAGGGCATATATGGACGCAAGCACGCCTTTAGATAACCAGGTCCCAAGCCATTGAGGGCTTTATAGGTGATAACCAACACCTTGAATTGGGCCTGGACTTCAGTGGGGAGCCAGTGAAGCTGACGGAGAATTGGGGTTATATGAGAACAACGCCCAGTCCCCGTCAGCAACCTGGCAGCTCTATTTTGCACCAATTGAAGTATCCGGACCATCTTCAAGGGCAGCCCCACATAGAGCGCGTTACAGAAGTCTAACTGGGAAGTGACCAATGCGTGTGTCACTGTTGCCAGGCAGTCGTTCTCCAGGTAGGGACGCAGCTGATGGATCAACCGAAGCTGAAGGAAGGCGCTCCTCGCCACCGCTGTTACTTGAGCTTCTAATGACAGCTCTGGGTTGAGGAGCACTCCCAAGCTGTGAACCCTGTCCCTAAGGGGGAGTGCAACCCCGTTCAGGACAAGGTCCAGGTCCCCCATCCCGAAGCCCGACCCACCTACCAACAGGACCTCCATCTTGTCTGGATTGAGCCTCGGTTTATTGGCCCTCATCCAGTCCATTACCTCGGCCAAGCACCAGTTCAGTACAGCCACTGCCTCACCTGGATTAGTTGAGAACGAGAGGTAGAGCTGGGTATCATCAGTGTACTGATGATTCCGCAGCCCACACCTCCTAATGACCTCTTCCAGTGGTTTCATATAGATGTTGAATAGCAAGGGGAACAAAATGGACCTCTGCGGAACTCCATAGAGCCATAGTCCCCCAGCACCACCTTCTGGAATCGGCCATTGAGATAGGAGTGGAACCACTGCAAAGCAGTGCCTCCAACTTCCAATCCCGCAAGCCTATCCAGAAGGATACCATGGTCGATGGTATCCAAAGCCACTGAGAGGTCCAGGAGAACCAACAGGGACGCACTCCCCCTGTCTCTCTCCCTGCACAGGTCATCATACAGGGTGACCAAGGCAGATTCAATACCGTATCCAGGTCTGAAGCTGGACTGAAATGGGTCCAGATAATCAGTTTCATCCAAGAGTGCTTGGAGTTGTCCCGCCACCACCCACTCTAACACCTTGCCCAAGAACGGGATGTTGGCCACCGGTCTATAATTGGCAGCCACCTCTGGATCCAGGGATGCCTTCTTTAGGACTGGCCGGACTACCGCCTCCTTTAAAGGGGCAGGTACCCGGCCGTCCCTTAGAGAGGCGTTGACAACCTCCAGGATCCAGGTCCCAATCCCGTCCTTGGCTTTCTTGAGTAGCCAAGATGGGCAAGGGTCCAGTAAGCAGGTGGTAGGACGTACTTGTCCAAGCACCTTGTCCACATCATCAGGCCGCAGCAACATAAACTCATCCATCAATTGTGGACCAAATGGCAACATTGGCACCTCCCCAGTAGAATCTGATTCGCTAGTAGAGTCCAGCTCGTGACGAATCTGAGCGATTTTCTCCCTGAAATGCCTGGCAAAGTTGTCACAGCGGGCCTTTGAGGGTGGCATTAGACCTTTCTTTGGGCCCGGGTGTACCAGCCCCTGTACCACCCGAAAGAGCTCCGCCGGACGGCATTGTGAGGAGGCAATGGGAAGCGGAGAAGAATTTCTTCTTCGCCGCACTCACCGCCACAGCACAGGCCCGATAATGGGCTCTTAAGTGTGTTTGGTTAGATTCATCCCGTGATTTCCTCCACCTAAGCTTTAGACGTCTCCCAACCCGCTTCATCACCCATAGTTCAGGTGTATACCAAGGGAATGAACGGGCTCTGCCAGGTGGGAGAGGACGCTTAGGAGCAATTGTGTCAATAGCCCTGGTCATTTCCCAATTCCATAGTTCAACCAAGGCATTGACAGGAGCACCAGCCTTATCAACCGGGAAATCCCCCAAGGCCTTCAGGTCCATCCAGATCCATCCGGCTCTGGGGGCGGACCAGCGCAATCAGGTCCGCACCCTTACATAGGCAAAGGCAACTCTCAAGCTCAAACCTCACGAGGAAGTGATCTGATCATGACAGGGGTGTCAGACTCAAGTTCCTCACCCTCAGATCACCCTCTTTCTGCCTCGTTGAGAAAGCCAAGTCCAGAGCGTGTCCACGTTCATGGGTTGGGCCAATTATGTGTTGAGACAGCCCCATGGCTGCCATGGAAGCCATGAAGTCCTGAGCCGCCCCGTTCAGAACCGTCTCGGCGTGGAGATTGAAGTCCCCAAGGACCAGCACCCTGGGAATCTTCAACACCAAATCCAAGACGATCTCCGTCAGCTCAGGCAGGGAGTCTGTTGGGCAGAAGGGTGCACGGTACACCAACAGAATTCCCAGTCTGCCTCGGTCGCCCAACACCAAGTAGAGGCACTCTAGACCCAGCCTGGAGAGGACAGGAAGCTCCATGAGGGAAATAGAGACTCAGTAAACCAAAGCGACCCCCCTCCCCTCCCCTTCCCTCCCCTCCCCTCCAGGTGTGGTCGGTGCTGGGCCAGATACCTGGGCAGGCACAGTTGAGAGAGGGAGACGTCTCCCCCTCTCCCACGCAGGTCTCTGTAATGCAAGCCAGGTTGGCCCCCTCATCCACAATCAAGTCATGGATGAGGGAAGATTTATTGTGGACTGACCTGGCATTAAGCAGCAGCACCGACAGGCCCGGGGGGCGGTTGACAGGACTACCTGGAACCCTCAGGCTGGGGGAATAACCAGAAAGAGGAAAAGGTGCTAGCCATCTGTCCCTCCTCCTCCTATGTGGACATGTTAGACCCCCCAACACCATAACGTCCATTGCCCATGACCACCCCAATGGCGGCGCCCACGCGCTCCCCAGGCAACCCCATATTCGTAGCCAAGAATGACTCCATTAAAAATATAAGCTAAAAACACCTAAAAACACTTAAACCCCCCACAACACATCCCAATCCAATTAGCAATCCCACCTCCTGGCCGACAACATAGCCCCTGGCCAGCCCAGCCCTCACACGGCCCCCAAACGGCGGTGACCGCCCTTTGGCCACAGGCCCCGACCGCGTCTGGTGAGATAAGCCAGCAGCCCGTCCCCGCGCCCCGCCCCCAATCCGGCATGGCTCTAACCCAGCGCCGGCGGGGCGGAGAAGCAAGGGCGGCCACCCAGCACTCGCCGGCCGGCAAGATGGTGGCGTCCTCCCCAGCGGCAGCAGCAGCAGCATTGACCGGCCGGCGTCCTCCGGCCCCGGTGGGTCCGGCGATGGCCGCGGGGTCCAGTGGAGCGCCCCTCAGTGTTCCCCGGCTCGACGGCAGTGGCAGCAGATGGTCGGAGGGAGGGGGTGAGAGGGGCCCAGTTCTGCGTCCGGCGAGATAAGCCAGCGGCCCATCCCTGCGCCCTGCCCCCAATTCGGTGTGGCTCTCACCCAGTGCCGGCAGGGCGGAGAAGCAAGGGCGGCCGCCTGGCACTTGCCAGCCAGCAAGATGGCGGCGTCCTCCCCAGCAGCAGCATTGTTTTTAGATTTTTAGATCTGATTAGTTGTTCAGTTGTCCCATTGTTATGCTATAGTTCTATAATTTATAACTTGAACAGGTTTTACGTCATGGTGTTAGGCTTGTTCATAAATGGCATCGGAATTAACTGTTTGCACACTTGGACTACTATATCTTAATACTTAAAAGGGAATGCCTGCGTTATTTGAATTTTTTTATCTTTTTGATTTTCATCACTCTTTTACAACTATAGGTAGACTTTTTAATCTGTAAATGATAATTTTGGAATAATACAGCATTATGCCTGTGAACTGTATTTTAGCATTCTGCATGTTCATGAAAGTTGCTAGATGCAATTTGAAATGGAACTGTATGGAGTGTAGTACATCAGCATTTTTTCAAGCCTTATTGTCACGAAATGTAGACTCTCTCATTTAGGGCTTTCATCAAATGACATTTTCTGAAAAAGTTATTTTTATTTCAGTGTCTCCTTTCATTCAAGCTCGTGCTGCAGAAATAAAGGCTATGTTAAAGGCTGTTACACAGAAGTCTTCCAATACCTTAGTGTTTCAGTCTCTTCCTAGACACATGAGGAGACGAGCTATGAGTCACAATATCAAACGCCTACCCAGACGACTCCGTGAACTTGCCAGAATAGAGGTGATTCTTCATTTTATTTTTCTACTTAACCTGCCATAAAAAATACTCTATTTATTTGTTCACACTTTCAAAAAGTGTCAGATTGTCGACACTGTTGATCAGAAGGTGGTAACACAATTGGACATGGCCATCTCCTTTTCAAAGAGTTTCCCTTATTTCTTTTTTAAATTGGTGATTCTTGGCACCAAACAATTCCTTTGGGACCTTGAATGACAGTCTTAGTATCCTTTAGCAATGGACCATGGTGCCGGTCCGCAGATTTCCCACCGGTCTGTGGGGGGCTCTGGGGGCTGGTTGTGTTTTAGCACTTCTTCCTCGGTTGGCATAGCATTTGCAGGTGGTGCACCAGTGGCACCAGGGGAGGCAGGGTGGGGATAGGCAGCTCAGGGGAGCCACACTGCACCAATTTCAGTATTCTGTTCTTTTGTTGGCTTTTTGTGTTGCTCAGTTTCTGGTGGTTCTGGAAAATTTTCATTTTTTTGGTATTGTGTTTGCAAACTAATACACAGAATACTTTGTGTGGTGCTTTTTGTTTCTGCCTCAGCGGTTCCCAAGGTGGTTTTTGTTTTTTGGCTGGTCCCCAGCTGTAGAAAGGTTGAAAACCACTGTCCTGTAGGACGCGTTATTTGAATCACTCTGGATTCCAGTTTGTAAATAAAGGCAGTGCAGCATATTATCCCGTATTCTGACTTAACAGGCAGAGAAACCTGAACATCAGAAAAAGGAACTCCCAAAGAGTAAGTGTCGTAAAGCCAGGCGGCGTCATACAGATTTGGTGGCAGTGTTCAATCACAGGCAAAAGAAGAATATCTGGCTGGAAACACACATCTGGCATGCAAAACGCTTTCACATGGTGAAGAAATGGGGATACTGCTTAGGAGACAGGCCCACAATGAAGAGCTATAGGGCCTGCTATCGAGCCATGGCAAACCACTGTCTCCTTCAGGTACTGCGTTTATTTATGCATCTATTCTCGGCAATGTTAAAAACTTAATCTCTAAAGCAAAGGTTGCAAAGTTCCTTTCTAGAAGATTGTGACCTTTCTTCCTTTTAGCATTCATGAAGCGCTTGTTGTGTAGAGAAAAGATGAATCTGACTTACCCATATCTGAGCATTTTTGTGCACTATGTTCCCATGGCTCCAGCTGTTGAGTTCTTGTTAATGTTTAATAGCAAAGTTAATAGTAACTTAGCTAATAGTAACGCTTTTTTGACTGTGGTACACTAGGTAGAATACAGGACTGAGGACCTGGGAGATCTGAGTTCTAGACCCCATTTAACCATGATGTTAATTAGATTTTAGGTCAGCCACTAAATCCTAGAATAATCTACTTCACAGGGTGGTTGTTGTGAGGATAAAATGGAGTGAGGGCTGTGTAAGCTAGCTTGAGTTTTTTGTAAAAGGGGGAAAAGGCAGGGTATAAATGCAATGTAATAATTTACATCCAGTGGATAACTCAGCTTCTCTAGCATGCCAAATTTTTTTCTCTGCAGCTTGACATTCAATATATTTTCTTTGGTATCAGGATTTGTCTTATTACTGCTGTCTGGAGTTGATTGGAAAAGAGGAGGAGCTTCTAACGCCACTTGCTAAAATGTGTAATGTAGATACAGGTAGTATTTTCTCAAACTACTTTAAAAAAATCGCATGGTTTTGATCTTGACTACTTAGTCTGGCTTGAGAGGCCACTGTCTATAGCTGGGCAGTGCTAAGTTTGGCCACATTTGTGCAATGAAATATTGTTCATTTGAAAAGCATAATGGAAGGTTGAATTGTAGCCTTTGCTCTCCACTAGTTGTCCCCATTCTTCTCCCCTGCCCCATGTCAGATATTTGCTGTGCTATGAAAGGCAGAATTAGCCACTCTGCTATTGACTCTGGTTTGGGACTTTTGAGAAAGAGATGCCAGCAATCAGTATACGACATTATCCCTTTGTAAAATAAAACATGCTTTATGACATTTGCCATAGCAGTCACTAGTAACAGCCAGAGGCGGTGCTGGGCATACAGCAAGGGGACTGGAGCCTTGTCTCCCCCAAAGATAGAAAAGGGGTTTAAAATATCGATTGGTTGGTGGTGCATTTCTACTGGTCCCCATTGTTGTTTCCTATTAAGTCTGTGCTGGTAACAGCTAGTGTGAGCATCTTGACCTCATTAAATGACTATAGAACTAACTTTCCCCATGTAAAGATGTGGGGGAATTGTTTGCAAGGGCAACCAGTCCAACAACGAGTTGAAAGAGCAGGAAGTATCTAAAAAGGAGAAGAAAAGCCTCATTACTGGCAATAGCAGCCAATGAAATCAAACTTACCATCAGCAGTTACTGGAGACAGCAGGATAGGTGGCAGTGAGAACTGTATGAGCAATTTGATCTCCAGTTGGTAGACTCCTGAGCCAATGGAAATATATCTGGGCATGACAGAGACAGCCCCAGTACACTGATAACTGAGCCTTCTCTCCAAGTTTCTCTCTTGATGTAAGTTACAGTCCTAGCTAGTCTGTGTCAGCTTCCAGTTACATCCTAATAACTCTTTCAAGTTCTTCAGTTATTTTTGTCTGCTTGCTGCCCTTTCTTGTTCCCAGTGGAAGAGTAGGATTGTATATTGCTGAATGGGTTCTATACGTGACTTGATTTATTCTGTTGTGTGGTGGTGCCCCCACTCCACCATATAATTCTTGTTGTTCTAGAAGAACTGGCTTTTGCTGGGAATCAGGGTGGGAATTGTAGATCTTAAAAATAGATTGGTCAGTAGAGACAATGGGTTATGGATTGAAATGAGGTGGGAAAGAGAGTTGCATTTTTAACTGCTTGTTGGTGACAGTTGCAGTACTTTTTTGAAATGTTTGGCAGGAGGGCAAATACTTTAAAAGCTTGGTGATGAGAGAGAGTTGCAAACATGTTTGACTAAAGCTTGGAGGTGAGAAATTATGAAATGTATATTGCCATTTGGTAAAAAGAGAATCAAATGCTTTGTAAAAAGAAACTTGCTGGTAAGAAGCTTGCAGACATTTTTATTTCTGTAGCCCAATACCTGAAGCTCTTTGGGTGGTTCACATTATGTAAAATGCAAACATAAATAAAAACATCATACTTTTTTTAAAAGCTACAGTAGCTTGCATCATGAGACTTGTTTAAGCACCTAACAAAGCTCCAATATAAATATAACGAATAAATTGCTCTGTGGTAGAGGACACACTTAACCTGGCACCAAAAAGATATTAAAGTCGGCACCAGGTGGGCCTCAACGGGAGCTTATTCCATAAGGCTTGCTGGGGAGAAGGTTGTAAATATCTTTTAAAGGTTTGCGGGAGCCAGAGAATTACATTGTTTCTTTTTTAAAGGCTTGCTAGAGAAGCAGGAGATGCACTTTCCAACTTTCATGCCTTTCCAAACTCATCTGCATCAGAACCATATAACATGTTGAGAGAGTGCTATGCCGCATGACTTGGCTCTGCCTCTGCTGCCCTACAAGTCAGATTGTTTATAAGCCACCACTGATGGCAGCCGTGCTGTGCTCAGGGCAGCCTTTCATAAAGGTCTCCAGAAGTTAGTAGCCCACTTTTCTAAACCAGAGGTCCAATTGTGCTCAAACATTCCCAAACAGGGAATGTTTGAGCACAGTTTGCCAGTTCATGTATCACACCAAATCAATTTGAACAAAATATGCAGAAAGAAATTAAATCCTATAGGCAAGAGGAACTTACTTACTTACTTATTTATTTAGGGGTCGTCTATGCCGCCCCATTGGCCAAAGCCTCGGGGCAGCTCACAACCATAAATAAATAGAATCCAATAAAACAATATAAATTAACAATATAAATTAAGTCGCCCTGGCCAAAGTTTAACCACAGTTCTCCAAGCTGTAGTTCGGAGTATTTTCTGAACGCAGCCTTAGTCTGTTAATTGTTTTATGATACATTGATTTTTCTGGGGGAAATGAAACTGGTCTTTTAATTTACAAACACTGAGAACTTTCCAGTATCCCAACTCCTACCGCAGTAAGACAATCTGAGCAGAATAAAAGCATTTAACAATGTTCTGATTGGCAGGCTGAGCAGAAAATTTTAAGTGTGAAGTGCTGCATATTATATCTCATCTCCCCTTTTGCCCTCATGCATGAGTACTGAAATCATTTTGGGTCTGAATGGGCAATATCTAAAATATTTGTAACATAATTGTAATTGTGTATATGTGTGTATGATATTCCTCAGGACCAACATTTGCAGCTGCTCCTTGTCTGTCTGGGAAACGCCAGGGAGCCCTTACTTTGTACCAGGCAGATCAATATCCTCAGGGTGCACTTGGCCCTGTTACTTTTATTTGGAAACCTAAAAATGGATCTCTTGCTACCTCTGACAGCAGGCAGCTGTGGATATGGATGCACCCGGCTTTCAAACAGGTAGGAGCCTTGCCATGTTGGGGGCAGCAGCTATCTTTCTGTAATGCAGAAGTTGACCTGCTGTAGGCAGGCCTAATTCAGATGATCTCTTTCCTCATGATAAAGGTGAGAAAAGACAGCTCAGGGTGTGGAATGCTAGGTGTTTGTGCAGTTAAAGGGTTGTCTGTACCTTTCCTGCTGTTGCAGAGGGTACAGGCATCCCCTTTACTATGCATGTGCCTAGTCTGTGCAGGCATCATGTACTTTGTTGATCTTGCCAATTATTGTCTGCTGTGGCTGGTAAAGGCTCTCCAGAACTCTTTCAAATCACCTGCCACCTGATCCTTTTGACTGGAGGGACCAGGAATTGAGCTGAGGACATGTGCAGAATAGTATAGTAGTTAAGAATGCTGGTCTGGAATTCCAGAGCTTCAGGTTCTAGTCACCACTCAGTCATGACACTCATTAGGTATCTTTTGGCCTGTCACACATTTTCAACCTAACCTGCCTCACAGGGTTGTTGTTGTGAGGTTAAATGGAGATAAGAAGAACCTTGTGAGCCTCTTCCTTTCAAGATGAAGAAAGACAGGATGATGTCATATAATGTAATAATATGATGATGCATTCTATAACCATACTGTAGACCCTCAAACATCAGCCAAACTAACATGAACATTTTCACCTTGTCTAGAACTGATCTTACCAAGTTCTTCCTAAAGATTTCCGCAGGGTTTTCTGCTGTGTAGTAGTAGTTGTTGTTGTTATCACATTGCATTTATGTGCTGTCTTTTCCCCTCTTGCGGGGATCCCAAGGTGACTTGCAGAGCTCCATTTTATCCTCACAGCAGCAGCCCTTTGAGGTAGGTTGGACTGAGAGTCTGTTTGACTCAAAGCCATCCAGTGAGCTTCATGGCCGAGTGAGGACTAGAACCCACATCTCTTGGGTACTCAGTCCATCATTTTATCCACTGCACCACACTGGCTAGTGAAATGATTGCATCCAAGATCTGTGTTGCAGAGATGCCAGGTCTCTACTTGGTGTCATGCACGCACATGCACACTCTGCAATAGAGCTCCTTCTATTCTGCTGGTCTCCTGTTTCTCTTGTAGTATTTTCAGGGGCAAGAGCTGCACTCAACAGGAGGGTGTCAGAAAGTCTGCTTCTGTTAACCCCATTACAAACATGGATCCTATCCAGTACCTTATTGGAAACATGACTTCTTTTGGCAGCAGGATGAGCTATTGAGTAGATATGGAACAGTGTCTTCCAGACAGAACATGCAGCCTGATACCTTCAGGTCTTTTGGGCTTTAGTTCCCATCAGTTCTAGGGAGCATGGCTTTAGGAGTTGTAGTCCCAAATATTTGGAAGGCACCAGGTTGGAAAAGGCTGCTGTAGGCTAGCTGAGAATATTGAGCTAGATGCCAATAAGCAAGCTTTCACCTTCAGGTGTTCATTTCAAATGTTGCTGCTAATAGCTTGATGAAAATCTGTAAAACAGGTTCAACAATGTGAATGTATTTTCTCTCCTCTTTTTTGTAGGACATACTGGCTGAGCTAAAAGTAGTTTTTCAGTGTCCTGAGCTCACAGAGTCCTGTAGCCCTGAACCTGTTGTAACATTTCCTGAAGAAGAAAGTAAAGTGGATGTCAGTGTAAATGTTGGCAAGAAGAGGAAAGGAAAAGGAGGCAAAAACGTTATTCCAGTAAAAAAAATTATTGGTGATGGGACTAGAGAGACCCACAAGCCATATTGTTGGACATCACAAACTACTGGGGTTGTAATAAGGTAAGCACTGTACTTAGTTAAGCTGTCTTATCACAAGGATAGGCAACCTGGGAGGCCTTTTTTTAACCCCTCAGACTGTTCCATCATAAGCCAAAATCCCTGCCAGGCTAAGTGGCCCAAAAGCCTAAACACAATAATAAAATATGTTTAAAATGTCATCTGGAGTAGTTATGATATGCCAAAGAGGTCAAAATTAGCATGATTTCACAGGGTGAAAAGACCTTCAAAATGGCTGCTCCAAAAGCCCTTGTGTTGAACACTGCATATAAAAACAGTTTTGGGGAATGGAATAGGGTGGCAGGTATCGTACATTGCCTGCTAATTCTTAAAGCTTTGCTCAATTAGTTTATGTAAGTTGCTTCAATACTTCAATGTTTCAACAGTATTTTCAGGTGTGGTGCCCTCCAGATGTGTTGAACATCAGCCTTGCCATTCGCAGCCAGCATGAGAGTGCCACCTATGCTGGCTGGAGATTATGGGAGTTATAATCTAACCCATTTGGAGGGTACTAGGTTGTGGAAGCCTATTTTAAGATAAACCATGTCTCTTCCAGGGATTTGACAATGGAGATCCTCCGATATCGGTTGATTGGTCCCCTTTCTCACTGTGTTCTTGCAGAGGCACTCAGAGTTGCATCTGTCCATACAGTAAGTAGATACAACAGTGTGCATATTGTTTTTCATTTTATGTCCAAGTTAGCCTCATTGTTCAAGAGTTATAGTCAAATATTAGACTCCATTACTGTAATAGCATTAGTACAAACCATATTTCTACGACAAATGGCATATGCTTGCACAAAATTGTCTCACTAGATTTGAGGCATTTTATGTTGTCAGTAATACTGCTGGCTTAAATTTCTGGACTTCCATATTCTGAAGGGTTGCTGGATAAAAGATACCAGGCAGTACAGTTTACCAGACAGTTTTGTTGTAAAATTGGGTAGTGTCCACTCTTTGTTTACAGGGTCCCAGATTTGATCCTTGGTAGCTCCAGCTAGTTTGTGATGGACTCATATTAGAAATCCTGAGCAGCTCCTTTAAGACAGTATAGACAGTGCTAAGCTACAGAGACCAACAGTTAGACTCAGTTTAATTTAGCTTCCTGTTCTCCAGATTCAAAGGAAACATGGCAGAATGTTGCTGTCATATAACCAGGCCATTATTCCTTGCCCTGCCTTTCATATGCTGTACTGGCACCAGCTGCCTAGCTCTGTATACCGAAGACAAAACCAATCTAAAGCATGGATTGCTGCACACATAATTGGTATATTTCATAAGCTTCTCCAAATGTCAGTCCAGTTTGTGAGACATCGGCATCAACTTCTGTGTAGTTGTACCGTAATTGGCTTTCATCTTGATGCAAATTCTCCAGGAACGTATTTATCTGTAGGAAAACAGCCCTTTAGGTGAAAGGGAAGGAATGGACCTTTGCTGCAGACTATTTGCCCCCTGTACTTATTGTCACTGACCTTTTAGGAACCAGTTTCTACAAATCCTGAAATTAACAGTTGGTGGATAGAAAATTGCAGAAACCCTGATCAGGTATTGCTTCATCACCATCAAGAAACTATCTTTGAACTGCTGCAAGGTAAATGCTAGTCATGATGTTCCTAAGCCTTGTTTTCTACAGGTTTCTAACTCTTCATGAAGCCATAACATTATCATTGTACTTAAATTGCTTGATATAGGAGTAGTCGGAATGGATGGTAGATGTATCCTTCTAGTGTTATCACTTAAAATAGAATGTGAACAGAGCTGGAAGTTAATTTAATGGCTAGTATTAGCGGCGCCTTTGACCTTGCTATTTTTTTGCCAGCAGAAAGGCAATAGATCTTAATTCCTTTCCAAGAGCAGTACTGGAGAAGTCTTGAAAGAAAGCCTGGTTGAGGAAACTATGAACAGTGCACTCTAACATAAGGTTTTCTGTTGCAGCCCTTGCTTATATACTTAATGATACAGATGCACACACTGTCTTGATAGATCAGAAAGGGTCTGAGGTAGTAAAAATCTGAAGAAATTATTATAACACCAGACTCAATTGTATTTTTTCTCTTAGTGTTTACATTTCTCTTGAAACAATTAAATCATAGGCAATTGCCACCTCTGTTCTGGGTTTAGTGGTTCAAAAGATACTTCTCGATTTCAGTCCATGGTATTCTAATATAGGATTACATATTCTTGTATGCCATTTCTCTAACTTGTGGGATTGTGCTTATTTTGCAAACAAATGGTAAAGGTAAGAAAGCAGTAGACAGTTTCTGTATAATGTTAATGAGAATTGGAAAAACATTTTAAAGTTTGTATCCATTTTGTGTGTTTAAGGGTTAGGTTCATCAGACCTTCCATCAGGTACTGTACTAGGTTTGACTGTTGGGGATCCTCGAGTGAATTTACCAAAAAAGAGATCAAAAGTCATGCCAAAACCAGAAAAATATCAAGGTAAAATATCCATAATATAATTGTACAATAGCGAAACAGCTTGTTTATATCAAGATACATTTCTGTTTGTTTGTTTTTTTTTAATATCCCATGGATGCTTGGTATTCTCTTAAGTTTTAAATGTCCAGTCCATCTCCTGAGTAGGTGTTCACATACTAAATGAGGGCTAGATAGGGAACAGCAGCTGTGAGGAAGGGACAGCACCAAACTGGTCTTGTGCTCAATGGAAGCCTCTGTTAAATGGTGCAGATGATCCAGGTTCGAATCCTGGCGAGGCCAACAGGTGCTAAACCCAAGATATGACACGTTATTCCCATCTGCTTGATTTGTCCTACAAATGCATGCTTTAGGAGAAGTGTTAAGAGTTTCTCGTGTATGATGATGCATTGTCTGGCCTGTATTACTTGCTTGGCATTGGAACCTTTTTCTGTAGTTGTAGCAAGAACCAGAGGTATTGTATTACCATTGAATTTATTTGCAAGTTGCTAGCATGGAACTAGATTCATAATTTCATGATTCTACTTGTTCAACCACATATCTGCACACAGCACTTTGTCTTTCACTAATAGTGCAGTTTGGGGGACAGAATTTAATTTAATTTAAACATTTATATGCCGTCCTTTGCAGCAGCCTCAGGATGGCTTACGAAAACAAAAATCCCAATATAAATAACAATATAATATTATAAATAGCATACAAACATTCTACAAAAAAACAAATTAACCACAATAAATCCTCTCTTAATTAAAGAAGAGAAATAAAAAATAAAGACATGACCGTATACAATTAATGATATTATTAAAATGATATTAGTTATTAAAATGATGGTTAAATAAAACAGTCTTTACCTGGTGCCAGAAAGAGTAGAGGGTCGGTGCCAGGCAGACCTCTCTGGGGAGCATGTTCCATAGTCTGGGTGCCACCACAGAGAAGGCCCTCCTCCGCGTGGATACCCTCTGTACCTCCCTCAAAGAAGGTTCCTGGAGCAAGGCCTCCTCTGCCAATCTTAAGGGGTGTGTGAGCATATAGGGGAAGAGACATTCCTTCAGGTATCCAGGACCCAAGCTGTTTAGGGCTTTACAGGTAAGTACCAGCATCTTGAATTGGGCCTGGACTTCAGTTGGGAGCCAGTGAAGCTGGTAGAGGTCTGGTGTTATGTGAGAACAACGCCCAGTCCCCGTCAGCAGCCTGGCAGCTCTATTTTGTACCAATTGAAGTATCCGGACTGTTTTCAAGGGCAGCCCCACGTATTTCTTTTTCTACAGGTTGACATCTGCCTCCTTGAGGGCTCTGCATCTTTGCCTTTGGGCTTCGCTAATTCAGTTAACTAGTCTACCAAACACACACTGTGACTGGCAACAGCTGTTCCTCTTCTTGGGCAGAGTTCTTTCCTTGATCGGTCACTGGGGGTCTTTAAGTCCAGGATTGATACTCAGACGTTTTGTGTGTAAAACAAGAAATCTGCCGAGTTGTGCAGCATTGTTACAGGAACACTCTTAAACCTTCAATCACATTGCATAAACTCTATTTCTTAGAGCCTAATTCAACCATTTTGGGTGTTGTACAAAAAAGTGTATTTCATCCATTTACCTGCTGTCAAGTAGCCAAGGTGCAATATTTACTGAGCAGCAACAATGTGTGTTCTAGCTTCCCCAATGCATCAGAAACTATTGCATCATCTATGGTTTTGTAAGAATGTCTGTATGAGGCAAGAAGGCACATCAGGTTTTGCAAGTTTGTGTGATTCTAGTTTCTTTAACCTTTTTCTGTCTGCGTTTGAATTTAATGACCCTTTCTGTTTTGAGAAATTCTGCAGGCAATACATGTTTACAGGCAGTGCAGGCAAGCTAAAGTTGATGGCCCAGGAACAAAGGTTAGAAAAAGAAGATCCTAAATGGATGCATAAGTGGGGTCACAGCAGTGTGCCTGGATGACTGAAGACCCTTGTTCGCAAACTTCCAGAGAGAAAATAAAAAAGTAACCTTAATGAAACTGATGCTCACTTGAATTGGGCATCACAACTTTTTCTGTAGTAGCATAGTCATTGTAAAGTAAATTCATTTTCTGTGTATACACTAGCCAATCACATATTCACAATAATTCATTATTTCATTCTCTTACTTGGTAAGAACACTTTTTATGTTCTCAGCATGGCATTCTATTCATTGAAGATCCATGTAGGACAGGGGTCTCAAACTCAACTTACCTGGGAGCCACTGGAAGGAGAGTCTGGGTGAGGCTGGGCCGCATCAAGTATTCCACCACCGCGGCGGTGGTGGTGGGCCGCTCATCCCGCGTCGCTCCCGGAGGCGCTTTGAAGGCCACAGGGCCCCTCCCCCCTGCCCCGCGCGTCCCAGCAATTGGCCCGCGGGCCGCGAGTTTGAGACCCCTGATGTAGGAGTAGCATTTTTGTAGTCATCAGTAGTAGATTTCTTGTGGTGTGTTCAAGTAGGTACAGTGTTTTGAACAACACACATGACGTGCAACTCTTTAAACAGAGCATTCTAATTTGCTAAGTATACATGGATAATCCTCATTTTTTTCCATTCTCTTTCTCATGGAATAGCTTGTTTTTTAAAAAAAGGCAAAACTTCTGTGTATCATCAGACCCATCGTCCCAAACATATTTACTTGTAGCACTGCAGTTCCCCAACCATGCTCCAGGTACTTAATGTAATCCTACATGGACTCTGCATATACAAAGGCACACACTTTTTCTTGTGGGCAGTTTATAAGGATCTGAACTGTGAATTAGAGTGAAAAGATACATAAGAATTCATTAAGTTGCTTGATGATACTATTAGAAACCTTCTGCATCAATCTTGGATCTTGCATTGTGTGGTTTAGGGAAAAGGCAGCAACTCCACAATTAAGAGTGACAAGTTAAGAAGTTAGAAATTGACATTTTCCTGCCTTTCTTTTATAGTGAGACTGTTTATGTAAAACAGTAGCCTTGCTATCTCAAAACACGGTAGACCTTCAGTTCCACAAACTCTTAGAAATCATGGTATGGCTTTTGCTAGATTACAGAGAACTTTGGGGTTCATCTTTTTCAGCTTTTAATGTGCATTTGCTAGCTGCTTAGTGCAAAATCTTAACTCTCTTAAAGGTTGTTATGCTCAAAATAAATATACAAAAGGCTTTTATTAGGCTTTGACCTGAAAGTTGCTACTATTAAAAATTTGGATAACCTTCCACAATGTGCTCTACTACTTCCTCTTAGCTTACTGTTACAGGATCTTAGCCTTTCAGCGATGACAAGGTCCTCCTTTCTTTTAGAAGATAAAGCCAAACAGCTCATCTTGGAAGGTGTGCCTGTGGAGTGTGCGCAGAGCTTTCTCTGGGACCCCCATGTCTGCAAAAGTGTCACAGACAATAAAATGCCGGAACAGGTAACTTTAACACAAGCATTCTGTTTAGTTCATTATATCTGTCCCTCTGAAGTAAACCAAGTGCTCAACAGTAAAGCCATGCACACAATATTTGCTTACAGAGCCTGCTCTATGGTTGATACATCAAACCAGTTTGACTGTAAGACCCAGCAATCCCTATTCAGTCTCATAGCTTTATGGAGTGAAGCCTAGCTGGCCTCATAGGCTTCTTGTGTAAATAATGTGAGAGGGAGAGTAATGCTTTGCCAACTTTTTGGAGAGAGAAAAAGAGTTCAAATTATTTCAGCAGAATTTCTTGGTGTTCTTTCTATAAACTGTTCACTAAAAATTTGAGCTTTGTTTGCTGAGTGTATGATCCTAGCTTCTTCACTCTCTTCCTTGTACAGTCCTCTAGCCAAATTCCCCTTCCTCCCTTTCACAAACTCCTCTTGCTGTCTTCTTCCAATGACCCCTTTCTCTTAATCCCAGAAGATTTGCCTCTTTCATCACTGGCCTGTTAAAAACATTTATTGAAATACGGAATATAGTACAAAAGGTTTCACTATCTGGGTATCTTAATCCAAAAATGCCAGCCTTGTGTGTGATTGCTGGAGCATTTAAAGTGTGGTAGCCTCTCCAAACCCCATTATGAGACTAGTACTTAAGTCATAAGGTACATAAGCATCCCATTGGACTAACTTTGTTGATATATGCCCCCTTTCTGGCCCCTCCAGAAAGGGGAATGTTAATTACATCATCAGGTACACAGTTGAAACTGATCTGAGCTCACTTTCCTGTGCCTTAAAATATTTAGTCTGACTGCTTTACATGAGACTAACCTCAGACCAGCCCATTTGCTATGATTAGAGTCATAACACTTTCCAGAATACTTAACTGGAACTAAGTTCATAATTTCAGAACCAATGTACAATTTTAGCAATCAAGTCAGGGTAAGTTATCTTGCTACAATAATGCTTTTATATTTATTTCAGTTATGAAACATGTGAAACATGCAGCCCACAAAAGCATCCAACATAAATTCCCTATTTCCCTCTTGTAGTCCAGCCACTGAGAAAGAAAAGCGGCTGGTGTGTTCTCATTTCTTCCCCAAATCTTCCCCTTCCTAGTGCTGGGCTTTTCTGTGCAATGCATATTAATGGTTTCCAGTGTTTCATAACTGAAATAGTTTATTTTATTTAAAAAAAACATTTATATCCTGTCCTTTCCAACAAATGGCTCAGGACAGCTTACAATGATTTAAAATAAAATATAATATTACAATAATACAATAATTAAAACAGTAGATACTATATCAGCATAAAACAACACTTCATAAAACTAAGGGAAAGAAAAGAAAGGAAGAAAAAGAATGGAAAATGCAACTGTGGAAAAAGATCTTAAAGCATCTAAAAACCTTAATTATTAATATGATGGCTAAATAAAAAGATCTTTACCTGGCGCTGAAAAGAGTTTAAAGTCAGCACCAGGTGAACCTCTCTGGGGAGTTCATTCCATGAATTGATGTACATTGGCCTGTTTCTGTCTAAAATTCTCTTTGCAGAGGATTGTCTCTTTAATAACAGAGGCAGATTACTTGCTGTCAGTGCAAATCATTTCTTTTTAGCTTGAGAATAGGAGAGGAGTTATAAGCAGGGAGAATTTTGCTGAACATATGGTGCCTTTTTGCTGCTTCTGTAGGCATGTTTTGCTTACTAATAGACTTGCAAATCTGAGATTTTGCTATGTACCTTTGATGAGGTGTGTCTTTCCTTCTTAAAGCAAATTTTAGATTGGGTTTTTTTTTTTTTGTCTGTCATCTAAGGACTTAAATCTTCTGAGAAGTCAGCTCTTGGTACCTGGGTCGCATCTTGACTTGGGCCCCCGAGAATCCAAGATTCCTATACTCCTGGTTCAGCAGCCTGGAAAAACAGCTGGAAAAGATCGACCAGGATGGGGAAGTGGCTGGGATATTTATTTGCCTAAAGGTTGGGGCATGGCTTTCTGGCTTCCTTTCGTAAGTGATGTTTCAGATCAAAATACAGAGAGAAATGTAACATTGTAGACTGTGTGTATATGTGTATATATTCAAAGTATTTAAAGTTTAGTTATCATAACAGCTTTTCTGTTTTTATTAGTAATATTTGTGTACCACTTCTGGCTTGAAACAACCCCACAGTGGTTTACAAAAGGATAAAAACAAAGTAAACAAAGATACGCATACACAATAGCACCAGAACAGCTGGGAGAAAGCCAAATAGATATGCAATAAACCCCTAAAATATATCACTATTGAGGGTCTGACATACCTCAGAGGAGAGATCATTCCTTGTGGGAAGACCCAAATCTACATTGCTCCCAAATGGAAATCCAAAGACCCCACAGCAGCACCTCCCCTGATGTTCATAGTGACCTGGGTGGTTGATATAGAAAGACTTTCCTTGTCCTAATTATACAGGCCTTTGTATACTAATACCAACATCTCAAAACCTAGCTCAGTTGCATCCTGGCAACTCGTGTAGATCCTTTAGCACCAGCACTGTATGTGCATGGTAAGGCGTCCAAATATCCTAACCCCTGCATTCTGTGATGGCTGATAAAATGCAAGGTTGTGACCAATTTGTGTTGGGTTCAATGGTCCTTGGGGAGCCTATATAATATTATTGCCACATGCCAGAAGCCATGCTGAGTTGACCTCACATTTTCCACTGATTGTCCCCTTGTGGTTTTATAGTGAAGTCTTACCTGCTCTTCACATTCCACTGAACAACAGAGCCCCATAAGCTAATCTGAGCATGCACGCTGGGTTCACTTTCTTGAACCAGTTCACAGGGACAGAAGAAGCCTCCAGTCTCGGATGCTCAGAAACAGCCTTCCCCAACGGGTTACCCTTCAGATGTTTTGAATTATAGTTTCTGTCATCACTGACCATTGGTTATGGTGGACCTGATGGAAGCTGTAGTTCAAACCAGTTTGGAGGGCACCAGATTGGAAAAACCTGCTCAAAACGGGAAATTATTGCAGGCAGATCTGTTGCCATTCCTTTCTTTATTGCATGAATACATGTTGACTACAACGTGTGGGATTTCCCTGAATAACTTAAGAGATTTGATTTGCTTTGGCACCTCTTCATATTGAAAATAAAATATGATTATTTGAATTACTGTGAGGATTTCCTAAGGTACCTGCCAGTACTGACTTTCTGCAGCTGGATGAATCCAAGACATTAAAATACTCTTTCTTTCTAGGTATATCAGGGTGCACGAGTGGGGGGCTTACAAGAAGCTCTGAAGCATTCTCTATATAAGCGAACACCACATGCTCCACAGGATTATCCAGACTGTCCTGCTGGCATCCAATTTGCCAGAGAATTAGAGAGAAATCTTCTCGAAAAGTTCAAGAGGTAAATAAATGAACTGTGCTATTTAAAAGTTTGATCTGTGGTGTCTAGTGAAACTTCTTCAGCCTTCTGCCGGGTTCAGTAGATTACACATCTTGCTTTTTTAAAATTTCTACAGGCCAAAGGGAGTTCTTTCAAAACATAATTACAATGAAATTTACAATCTGCTTTCCGTTGCCCAAATTAAAATGCCTACTAAAGTAAGACAAATTGGCTATCATGGGTTCCATTATAATGGTAAGTGCCTTTATTTGGAAGAAGATCTAATTGAAATATGATTCTGGTTTGGACATAATGCGTACCCATGGCTTGTTTTAATCATAGGTAGACCTGAGTGTATGACAATGAGTGCTGCCTCCTACCCGTTTACCCACTTCCATTTTGCTAAATGACCCAGATTCCTGAGTTGTTTTCCATAATTTCATCTGGATTGTTAAAGGAAAACAACACTCTTGTTTGTTAGATTAAAATTGTCAGTTGCTTTTCCCTCAAGAACCCAGCTCACCCATCTTGGTTGTTTAGCAATGTGGACAAAAAGCAGGAAGAGGCATCATATTGGCATGGTCACAATTACCAACAGTTAAAATAACCCATGGGTAGGCATTACATACAAAGCATGTTAGTGTAAATAAATAGATATGATCCAAGATACATTGAATTAATTCCTCATCCTTGCAGGGCTTTGTGCCTCTTTGCTAAATAGTTCTTGCCTGCATTAAATCAAAGCAGTTTGTAGCAGCTCCAGTTTCCACTGGAACTTTTTCATATTTTTGCTGTATAATGGTGCAGATCTAGCCATTAAGCCATATTATTTTACAACTAAATAGAGAATTTGTTTCTTTCTTGCAGGTAGTCTTATATCTTTGTGTCACTATATATTTTGCATGTTTTCACATTTTACCAACATAATGTCTTTAAAATATTCCCATACATGGTCTTTTATATGACCAACACCTATGACAGTTTGGTAGCACAATCTTATATGTTCTGTCAGAAACAGGTTCTAATGAATTCAGAGGTGCTTATTCCCAGGCAACTGGATATTGATGCACTGGATTGATGCATTACTATGAGAATACAAGATGAAGCACCCTTTTCACTTTTCTTTTTTGACCCAGTGTTGTTCTTTTCTTCTTCATTCTGTCTTGTCTCAGAGTTGCCTACATAAAACACAAACTAGCATACAAAAATGAAATATATATAACTGATAGGTCAAGGCAAGGTTTGATAATTACTGGATGGGAAAAGTCAAATCCATTTTTTATTTTTTCAGGTATCAAATGTCTCCACCTGTGATACTGTTTCTTTGCCTTACCTAACTCCCTTCTCCTCCATTTCTTTGTCCAGTTCCACCACTACATAAGCACAGAAGAAAAACAATTTGTTATATCACATGATATATGTAATTAATGCTTATGACTTGAAATAGTTTCAATTATACAAGAGAGAGAAAATTCAAATTAAACCTTCTGAAAAAACAACTTTTGAGATAAATGTTGCATTTTTCTGATAACAAGCCAAAATAACAATTAAGGATAAGGAAGACTTTAGTTCAGTTTGCACTTTGTTAAGAAGTTAACAGATTCATACTTTCTGGATAAACAGGCAAACCAGAGTACAGTTAATATTCAGTATTGTACTTTTTGGAATATTTGTGATGTATGCTTATTTTTAGGGACACAATGTATGTGTTCATGAAAAAAGTACAGAAAAGCATCGTGTAAGGGAATTTTGTTGACAGAGGATCTATCTCAGACTTACATGCAAAAAACCCAGGAGAAGTGGCATGAAAAGGCATATGAATTTTCATGCTGCTTTTAATAAGTTGCAAACTGATGCTGAAATGGGAAAGAAGTAATAATTGGAAAAGTAAGAAATGTCAAGAACCTGAAACTCTTATATTCTTATACTCAAGAACCTGAAACTGGCAAAAGTGCTTGTTCAGCTGATAATTAAAGAATTTGTTTTCTACCTTTGGAGAAAATTTTTCTAATTATTGGTACATTTATGTTGTGCTCCATGTTTTGCTGCCTCTGAATAAGAAATATGCCTTTGATCATAGGCGCCCTCCTGCTAAAAGAGCAAATTATGTAAAATATGGAACCTTGGCACCATTCCTCTGTCCTTGGGAAAAACTCACCAAGGACTGGGAAGCTAGAAATAAAACTCATGGAAAACACATGCCCACATCAGCCATGGACACTGAAGCTTGTACAACTGAAGAACAGGTTTCTTGTGGCCCCAGTTCTGGAGCAGAGGTGGGAACAACTGTTATCAGCAGCTTGAATCAGCCAGGAGAGACTTGCTTCCAAAACACGCAGATGAAAGAAGGGATAAAAGTGGCTACATCCCTCTTGGATAACTCTGTCACATCAAGCCGGGCCTTCTGTGTTCTCAGGTATGACAAACAAATTAATTCTGTTGACCGCAGTATAGAAATTCATAACAAATACGCATGAATCTATACACAGAGATGTGAGTGTGTGTGTGCTGTTGTGTTGGGAAAAAAGCAATAATCTAAAATATTTCGTATCTTTGGCTTTTCATACCCAGCTAGAGTAAGCAATATTTCTCCCCGGTTTCTGTTCTTTCTGCAGTGACAAGACTGGTAATAGTCTGTAAGCTGTTCTGTATGACAATTGATTGTTGCTGCATTTTCCTGCTGCCCGTTGGTAGAAGGCTTTGTTTGGGGTGTGGGAGGAGGTTAGCATGCTAATCTGTGGCGATTACCTTTAAAAGAGAAACCTCTTTCCTTCACAAGCCTATGCTTATGTTTTCTATACATGTAGAGTATGCTGTTAGGTGTAGAGGTTAGAACAGCATTTGCTAACCTGATCCCAGAGAGGTCCGCCTGGCGCTGTCATTATTTGTTTTTCGGTGCCAGGCCAAGACCTTTTTATTTAAACGCTATTTTAATTGTTAAGGTTTATTTGTTGATTTTAAACTGACCAGGCTGTTTCCACTATTTTATGTATTTTATTTTATGTATTTTATTTATTCTGTGTATTTTTTTTGTATTTATATGCGGGATTTTAATGATTGTAAGCCGCCCCGAGGCTTATGTGAAAGGGGCAGCATATAAGCTGTCTAAATAAATAAATAAATACCCTCCAGAGGCTTGGGCTACAACTGCTACCATTACTGACCATTGCCATGCTAACTGAAGTTGATGGAAGCTGGAAGTCCAAAATATCTGGAGGCATGAAATAGAGGAAGGCTGAATTAGTGTGTTACCTTAAACCTGAAAAGAACCATGTTCAAAATTTTGTGCAACTATAAAGCTTACTAGGTGCCCTTGAGCCACCATGTCTCAGCTAATGTATTACTGTTGTGCCCTCTCTCTTCCAGTTGTTAGCATAAGGGACGCTCATCTGTTGTCTTGGAAGGACAGAATAAGAGCATAATGAAACATTTAAATTCTGAACAAAGCCTGTGCAATCTCAATAGATGCTTTAGTGTGTGAGCTGAAATGCTCACTTGCGCTCACTCCCTCTCCCAGTGTGTGGGATATTGGTAATGCAACTCTTGATAGGTACAGTTTTTAGTCACTGTGTGTTAACAGTGAATTCCTTCCAAGAGTGCAGGTCTTTTCATAGCCAAAATGATGCCATCCATGCCCAAGATTATTGGCAACCTCAAGGGAACACCAAGGTTTACAGAAGTACAAAATATTTAAGAAAAAATCCTAAGTACAAATGATAATCTGATAACTCAGTGTCTTCAGACTACACAGTGCCAGCAATGGGGTGGAGAAAAAAGGAAAATTTGTGGAAAGAAATGTAATGAAATTGTGTATTTTGGAGTGGGGTATGGCTCACTGGAACCCAGACCCAGCAGTGTTGCTTACTATAATATTCTCCCCTAGAACCCACCTGTTTTGTGCTAACTGTAAGAAAAGATAACATGTTATGTCTTCTCAACAGGAGCAGAAAATTACTAAGGCAGCTATCAGTCTGGTGTCAGCCTACATCTGGCAGAAATCAGAGAATCCAGCGCCTTGCTTCCAAAGTAGATCAGAAGGAACTGACTGAAGATGCCATTTTGACAATCTGTCTATGTTATCCCAGGGCACTAGTGTGGGTTAGCCTGACTTTTCTCAAAAAAGGAAGCCCTGAATTGCACACCATGATTTGCATTCCAGCGAAAGATGACTTGTTACAGCTCTGCAAAGACCAGAACTTTTGTGGGCCTCAAGAACCTAAACACAGTGACCAATTTAAGGGCAAAGTGTTGAAACAAAAGGAAAGAAAAAAGAAAGAGAACATTGGGAAGTCCACAAGAAGTAGTGCTTCTGATGCCAGGAATGTAACACCAACTGAGCATAAAGATCTCACTCTGGGCTTATGGCCAGATCCTCTGCCGGTAGTTGTATCACATTGTTCCCGAGTCCTCTTGGGTTTTGTCACTCAGGGGGACTTCTCCTTAGCTTCTGGCTGTGGTGAAGCTCTGGGATTTGTTAATCTGACAGGATTGCTGCAGATGTTGATTAGCCAACCAGCAGACAAGAAAGGGCTGGTTTTGTTAAGAAATCCAGCATCACTACAGTACAGATTTGCTAAGCTTAATATTGAAGTCTAGTTTGAATTGAAATTCAGTGGTATATAAAATTAGCAAATAAACTATTCTCTCAGAGTGTACACACTTAATTTAGACCAAGAACTTCCAAATACTTAATTTAGACCAAGAGCTTAAGGGTAATTCTGTGCACGTTAGAAAAAAGAATTGTAGACTGGGAAGTGTTGGGTGTTGTAGGATTCCTTTTGTCTAAACATGCATAGAATTGCATGTTCTAATTATGTATAGTTTTATACTAAATAATCCCTTTCCTTGTTCAAAAACATACATATATTCTGAATGAGTAAGGTTTTATTAAGCAACTAGTATTTCTTGTATGTTTAAACAGTTTCACTCTTAATTGCAAAAGGATTTGCATAAACTACAGAGCTCTGTCCTCCCATCTCATGCAAGTGCAGCCACTAATGTATGCTTCAAAGAATTAATTATTCTCTTCACATATTGCTATCTTCTGATCTTTAGGATCAGGGTATGTTACACAATCATAGACTGGACTGAATCTGTCCAAATGTTTCAAATAAAAGTATGTTAATGAAGTTGTGAATTATTAATTCCACAGAGACTTGGCTACCCACCTTAGCTTCAACTCTTCTGAACAAATTGTAGCATTTCTATATTCTGCTTTGGAGGAATCCTCATTATTAAAAGAAGCTTGTTACATTTTCCCTTCAAACCATACTATCCTTTATGATGGGAAAGTGAAATCATGTCAATATGTTTTAATTGCAAATGGCATTGATTTAAAGGGAAAGTAATATTCTTCACTAAGTATACTGGAATATTCAAAAGGTAATAAATTTGCCTACAGTATAAGATTGATATTTGTGTGTTGCATTTTGAAGTTGCATATGAAGATGTACTGGAAGGAGTTTTTGGTTTTCTTTAAATCATTTGGGCAACCTGTGGGTATCCTGATGTTTCAGACTGAAACTCATCCCTTGCCACTGGCTATATTGATTAGAGTTGATGGAGGTTGTAGGCGAAAACACAGAGGACTGTAAGTTGCCCACCCTGGTATTAAATGGTAATCTAACAAGCTGCTGTTTCTGTTTGTTTGTTTTTAAATAGAATCATATTTGTTCATGCATGAAGGAAACAAATTCCTGCATTTAAATCTTAAATTATATTTTTGTCCAAGCTTAAGAGGCAACATTTATGTTACCTGGTCTGAGTTCTGGAAATTCTGAATTGACGCACTGGAGCAAAAATACAATAGTGGCATTTGGTTTAAACTGATGGGAAAAGGTAAATGTTTAACAATACTTGAATAGCTGAGCACCTTTGGTATTTGAATTGGGTGATGGCATACCAGGATCAGATGTATGTTAACAATACTCATCCTTATCTTGAACTTTTTTCCTAGCTTCATATTTGTTTATTAATTAACTCTTTGCAATATATGAAATTAAGAACATTATTCTTAATACAAGTTAACACATATTTTTGATATTAAGGTTAAAACAGTAAAGAATACAGATGAATCTTTTGCTCCTTGTTTTTAAACTCTGATTTGATTTTACTATAAATATGTATATGGTAAGATGTACTTATTAAAATTTATTTATTTCTTTATTTAAAAATTTAGAAATTAAAAAAGTAGTAGTACCAGTTCACAGTTTAACACTTAGGAACTAGTAAAAAAATTTAATTTGTTTTAGGTTCACTTTGTTGAATGTTGGGCCTTGACCACTTGGTGCTCCCAAAAATCCCCCAAATCTGCTTAATCTGATTCAGGGGCTATTCCAAAACTATGATGCTGAGCCAGGTTTGAAAATCTAGGACTTTTTGCCTCTGATTGACTCTGGTAGGAATTGTTTAGAACAACTATGATCTTTTTACTCTCTGTCATAAGAAGATAAATTTTAAGCATAGTTGCCTCTTAGGAAGGGATTAGTGTTATGCACCTTTATATTTCTATTTAAGTGAACTGCCAAAAACTTTTGAAGAGACTAAGACTGCCAAGCTTTAGACAAATAAGTGCATGTAAGAGGGTACAATAAGGGTGCAAGGGAAACCTTTACGTTTTGAGGATATCTACAAATGGATGCACTTACTTGCTGTCTTCCTTGTGGGCCATTCTTTTGAAAATAATTGACGGCATACAAGTGGATTTAAGGAAGAGCCACCAGAGTTTCAGAAAGAGGTTTATATGGAAAGGGAGTCCAAATTTGGGGTGGAAGTTGGTTTGCTTCCCCTTTCATCCCCCACATGGCTTTTTGAACCATTTGTATGAAAACAGAATATCATAGAGGTTTCTCCAGGTAAGAAACATGCTGAGTTTCAGAAAATAGGTTTAGGAGCTAGGGAGTGATGTCTGAAAGCAATTTAAAATTCTTTTCATATGGTGTTGGTAGAAGAATCATTTTGTTATGGTCAAACCAAACCCTTTTAAAGCACTGTGACCAGAGGGCTTCTGATAAAATAGAAAATAGACCTGTTAGTCGCTCAATTCTCTCCCTCCCCACATACACACTTTTATAGAAAGTAGGTAATGGACACTATTTGGGAGACATGCCATATTCTTTCCTGAGGCCAAATTATGAATGGACCTCATGCAAGGTTCAGCTTGATCTGAAGGGGCCTCTAAGAAATGTGCTCTGCCCAATTAAAGTTCAACAGGTAGAATAGTGAACTTTCCCAGTGTCCAAAAGCTGGGATAGTTTTTTGGAGCCATGCCAAAGTGTTATTGCCTTCAGCTTGTTAGGAAGAGCATCAAAGACAATGATTGGAGCTGACTTCAGTCATTTGGTAGATAGGCGCTGTAATTTCTATTTACTTACTGAAGCAACTTTGTTCACCTCAGCCCATCCTGGACTCTCTGGGCAGCTCACAGTGCAATATAAATATATATAAAATACAGATACAATAAATAACAACCCTTAAAACATAGTAAAGTTAAAATACAATAGAAGTACAATAGATTATTTGAAGGATTGCCTTGTCCCTACCCTGACCCTGAGGTCACCTTTGGGGATCCTTCTTGCCTACCAAGAGAAGGGTCTTGGTTGTGCACACAGTTGTGCCATGAGCTTCTCAAAGAGGCACATCTGGCACCTTCAAATTATTTTCAGTTATGGGTGAAGACATTTTATTCTCCCATTTTATTTAACTGTTTATATTTTAACAGTTTAAATTTTTAACTTCATTTTTAAATATTGCATTTTCTTCAGTACGACCTCTATGCTGATTCAACTACAATTGCTATTGTGGTTTTCTTATTTTAAGTTAATTTTATCTTACATGTGTTTTTTGTGTGTCTCTTTTAAAAATTGTTAAAATTTTGTTAACTGCCCAGAATGCTTCAGCTATTGAGTGGTATAGAAATGAAATAAATTTGCCCAGGCAAGTATGGAGTCCCATGGAGATTTCTCCAGTATGTTCATGGAAAGCAGCATGGCCACAGTAAAGAGGAGTGTAAATTTTCTTTTGCTTTTGCATCCATATTTCATGACACACAGTTTGTTGAATATAATCCTTGACACAGGTGGTTTTGTTTCTTCCCAAGTATCCTCAAATATGGAATGAGATTTCTTGGCTGGCCAAGTCCCTTGGTGCTGATACAGTGCCCACTTCAACTTGGAATTTGGCCAACTCTGCTACCAATCTCAATAACCACTTCCTTATTTAAGTGTGCTTGATAATTTTGTGACTTTTTTTAAAGCATATTGATCTGAATAGTGCTAACTTGAAATGTTTATTTAGTAAGTTTTGTTCCTCTTTCTCCAAAGGTTTTTATGGTCCTTCCTCTCACATCATTTCCTAAAAACAACCTTGTGAGGCTGAATGGTCCAATGTCTGTTAGTGAGCTTAATGGTTGATTGAGGATTTAAAAGCCCTTGATGTCTCTGACCATTAACACACACCTTAAAGCAGGGGTCTCAAACTCAACTTACCTGGGGGCCGCTGGAAGGAGAGTCTGGGTTAGGCTGGGCCGCATCAAGTATTCCACCACCGCGGTGGTGGTGGTGGGCCGCTCATCCCACGTCACTCCTGGAGGCCAGGCGCCGCTGGCGCTTTGATGGCCTCAGGGCCCCTCCGCCATGCCCTGCCCATCCCGGCGCACAGCTTAGAGGGAACATTGCGCCCAGGGTAACGACTCACACAGGTGCGTGTGAGCAAAACGCGCGGGCCGCACTATCACTAAACTTTGATATCAAGTGGGGGCCACAAAATATCGTCCCACGGGCCAAAATTGGCCCGCGGGCCGCGAGTTTGAGACCCCTGCCTTAAAGGTATGTACAGTCTGGATTTTGTCTTTTCTTCCATAAATCTGTTTAAGGGCAAAGCTTTCGCTGAAGATTTTACTTTTTCAAAGCTTGAAAGTACTTCTAAGTTCAGTTCTGTGATTCAACAGGTGTCTACCATGGCTAAAGGGGAAATATGAACAAAGGATTTTGGCTTGTAGTTAAATAAGATGATATCTATGCATTCTAGGAGTGATGAGCTGCTCATAACATTTCCCAAAGCCTATACTTGCAGTGATCTGTAAACTTAGTACAACTAGTATGTTCTAATTAGTTGCTCTATTAAAAAAAAAAAAATCTGTGTTTTTCTGGGTCACTGTTTTCTCCACATTAAGGGACATTTGTCCTTCCTGTGCTGTGCCTGACCCAGTATAGCTATTAGCTAGACAGAAACAGATCTCTGCTATAGGTTATAACCATTTAATGGGTTTGCAGTTGTCATATCTGGCATATCATAGATTGTTTCCTGGTGGTATTTGATCATAGCCGAGCTTTCCCTTTTTTCCTCCAGAAGCAGCTGCAACATGTTCAGAGCTGTTCCATGTAATAATTCACACTGACACTGAAACTGGCCACAAGATGTCCCCACAGGAAAAATAATGTACCTGTTTTAGGTCTGAAGGGGTGACATGCATAAATAGCTATGTAAAAATAAAAATAGAATCCTCAGTCTGTAGTTAGAAAGACCATGTTTTTTCATGTCAACAGTGATGGATTTCAACTAACTTTTAAACTATTCTATTCATTGATGGCTCTTCATATGTTTAAGCTCCTTCCTTGATATTTATTTTACTCCTATGAGCTTTTGCTTATTTAATATGATAGACAACTGATAAAAGCCAACAGAGAGGTCCTTCACGTCTTGCTATTTAGTACCATAAAGCCAAATTTAATGAATTCCTGTGAACTGTTATTTATCCCACAGTTTCCTATACTTCACCCATGATGAATGAACTGTGAAGTGCCATCTTACTTGGCCCTTCAGAATTGGGATCATATTTCCTTAGCTTCTGCCCATCTTTTTCTCCATAGGTAGCATTTGTTCCTTTAGTCCAGGCTTTCCCAAGTGTCTTCCCATTATCACTAGACAGCATACTTGTCACCATTGATCTGACAACTGGGGATCAGATCTTTCAAAGTCTTGAAAGATATTATGTGCTTTGACTGAAGGTGCAGATTGCCAGTAAGTACCCTAATAATGGCATGTGGCTATAACTGCAATATCCTATGGCTAATAAACTGCAACTTCATTCTAAAATTATAAACCACTCTTGTTGCTCGCCCCCTGCATATTGGTGTGTGTGTTTCAGTATCCTGTAAAATGCTATCACTTTGATCCAAGTTAATTTTAAACTTCCAAATATAAGTAACCATATTTTTCCTTTGTGTAAGTTGTGTGACATTTTCTGTGTGTATCTGTTTACTGTTGCAAGCCGCCCAGAGAGCTTTAGCTACGGGCAGTATAGAAACGAAATAAATAATATCCAGGCTTATGCACAGTCTGCTTCCTGTGCACTTGTCATATGATAGCCTGCTTAACCACTTCATTAGGTGGCACAGAGATAATGCAGGCCTTGGGGTCAGTATCAGTTTGGTGAGGAGGTGACTGTAGCAAGAACTGCTACTCTGACTCCAGGCTAAATATAGAGATCAGTTTTGCAGACTTTGTTAATATATCCCAGTTGCTTTTAAGTCCCATTCTATATTTGATTTACCTTTTTTACTTGGCTTTTCCAGCTGTTCTTTGAAGCTTAGGGCTGCTGCTCGTTTGGTGACTTTCAGTTAGAAGGAA